TTCGCTAATCTTTATTGTTAAACCTATGATTGAAGGAAGAAACCTAAAACCAATCACGTTTCGCACTTGGCTTTTGATCCACTAATGACGTTTTGCTTCGAGGTCTGGTTTGTTTGGAAGAATTATTTATTACGCTACTGTGTAATACGCAAGATTTGGCCGCTATACAAATAGACCCTTTTCATAAATGGCTGCCTATTAAATTTCTTTTGTATGCATTTAAATTAGCCTCACTAAACTCGTCAGGAGTAAAATTCTTTTGAATTATCGACTAAAAAAACGAGGTTACTCAGGATAATTTTAATGCTTACAAAAGATATTCTAATTGCCAACTATTGATGAAAAAGGTCAATATAGGTGTGAGGCAATCGTTACAGAACAACTTCATCTCAGGGCTCTATGGAAAGTAACTATCCGTCATTCATCGCTTGTGTCTTTTTAAAACTATAAAAGAATCTTTGAATATGAAAAAGCACCGACCCAAACTGGCCGGCGGCAAGCTGACAAACTGTCGCGATGTTCTTTAGTTAAGCTTGGATATATTGCGTCATAGACTAACTACATACATAACTTTTCACGTGATTCCTACTTTGTAATTTAGGAAGATGGTTGCTGTCAATCATGACAAAGGCTCAGGTACGTCACACAGAAACTTGTTTGTTACTTGAAAAAGTTTTAAACTAATACCGAAACAAACATTCTCAACTAATACCGTTAAATCACGGGAGAATTTTTTTTTTCACTAAATTATCAAAGTTGTAACATTTGCGGATTGTCAATAGTTTTAGTTCTGACAAGAAAAAAGGGAGACCACAATTTGAACGAAATTTGGTGTGTGTCAAAAGCCAAAAAACTAACATCCCTTAATAAAGCTATGAGGAACTGAGAAAATTTAGGAAAATAAACATTAGAAAAAAATCTGAACGTTTATCCAAACGGCTTCGGGTAAAATTACCTGTTTCTAGAGTACGATGTCCTTATTCGTATTCTCGGTTTCGGACTGGAACTAGCTTTAAACTTAGGCTTATGCGGGGATTCTTTTGTCTCTTTTCCTGTGCCTCCATTGCAAGCTAATTTCAGTCCAATAGCGAAAATTTTACACAAACTAACACAAGATTATCCAACTTACACACCCCTTCTTGCTGTAGTGATATGCCTTGACATTTGGTGTTTCCTTACATGAAGTTATTGATCCTTATAATTTCAGAGTTCAGCCACCATGACGAGGACGAAGGCTCTTCCCCAGACTCCGCACTAGGTACGTGCCCATCGTGCAACTCTGAGCCCACGCCACCACAAGAAAACAGTCCAGCGTACTTTACCTTTGAGTTTTAGGGAGAATGGCGGGACTTTTCCCCGAGGTAACCCTCGCAAACGTTTTCTTTTGCTTCTTCCTCGTGTCTGTTAATTTGTCTCTTCGTCTTGTTGTGGTCTTTCAGGGCATGCCCGCCTGGAACTACTTAGAAAGCAATATCTCTCGGTCTTTCGTACTGCAGGATCCCCAAAGGTCAGTGTCCTGCATCCCATGAAACCTATCCTTCTCTTCTCTTCCTATCATTTTCTTTCCGTTTCTTTTTCCAGTTTCCTGTTGTGACTCTGTCCAGGATTACTCTGCATGAATGACATTTTGTGCCGTTGTTAAGAGCCCAAAAGCATCTTGCTTACTGCTATTATTTCTCATTAAGTTCTTTCCTTTTCTTGCTGTTCTGCTACTTCCCTCTGAACAAATTTCTACTCAAACTCACTTTTTCACCAGCTGTACCAGACTGAGTTGAGCTCTCTCTATCTCAGTTAACTATCACTGGACATTTTAATCCCATCCGGGTTTTCCCACGCGGAGGAAAGCCCTCTTCCCACTCCTCTCTTGCTTAGACTCTTTGCACTCCCAGAACCTTTTCTTTACTTCATCTATAGCCACAGATGAATTAAAATTGATGGCGTGACACGTCAGCACCTATCTAAATTTCTCAGTTCCTCAAATGCATCCGCACTTAGGCTCTCTGCAGCAAGGTTTGACACACCTAGCCATTCCCATAGCGGTTTAAAAATCTGTTAATCCTTTTCATGCCTGCTCGTTTTATCAGTTTTATCACCGTGCACCATATCATTCAGCTCTATCGTTTCTTGTTCTTTACTTCTTCTTGGCAGCCAACACCTAAAGGACTGTGTAGGATGCAAGTTCGACCCGTTTAGATAGGTCAGTCGTCTAAACTCTTCCAGCTATTCAGTTTTCCTTTCTTTTCTTGTTTATGCACTGCAGCATACACCTCACAGTAGAGAACTTGACACATGGTACTTTTTCTTTGTATTGGTCGTGCTTTCCCTTATTTCAGTTCTGTTAATTATTCGTCATTTCGAAGTTACTATACATCATTAGATTTCATTTCCATTTCAAGTCATGTCACCCAACCCATTCCATTTTCACCATCGTGAGTTGATGTATTTACTACAATTCATTCTCCAATTAAATTCCTCGCCCACGAAACTTACAGCATAAAATACAAGCAAAACACCTTAAACGCCCCTGAATAAACCCTGCAAAAAATATGTCCCCACAACCTGAACGAAAATATCTCTCGGGTAAATCCCCTACCCATAAATAAAGAATTTGATCTACCCCTTCCCTTCCCCCTTGACTGTTGTAGAGCTTACTTGTAACTCACATCCTTGCCCTAAGTGTTGAGTTTCATTTTAAAAAAATATGCAGACCTTTTCTGTACTCCCTTTTGTTATCGAACGTAAGCACAAGAAAACCCCCAAGCGCGGTGCTTATTTAGGACGTTTCAGGAATATATTTGTAAGTTTGAATAAAAAAATACAAGTTTAAGACTAATATCGATTTTAAAATGTTCCACTACTTACTGTCATCTACGCGAGTTTAAAATCAAAATTCTCTCTGTCGCTTATCATACATTTTATGTGATCGACCTTAGGATAACCTGATTCCTAATCATAAGGTGTTTCGGGCTGTTAAATCGTTCAATATAGTTACACAAATGTAAGGAGAAACTAAGAATTTTAAAAACACTGATGGGATGCAGGTTTATAAAACGACTGCAACCCTAACCCTAAGTTTAAAAACAATTAAACAATGCTTAAGCGATTAAACAATTAAAATTATTTCTAGATCCATCACAACAGTGCGACCCTCCCCTCTCCTAAATTAAAAAAATCATTCTGTAACCCACGTATCTTTAATTAAGCTCAAAAAGAGTTCATAACAATTCAGACTCAATGTCATTTTTGACAACCTTTCTTGATAGAGGACTCCCTTGTGCAATTACTGAGGGGGCGTCACTAGCTGGCATGCCTCGTAGGTAGGTAATTAGCTGACTTTCCCTAACCCTTTCTTAAATCACTAACCCTAATCTAAATCATAACTAAACAGCTAAGCCGCAAGTCCCAAATTATTTCTAGACTAATTAAACGTTTCTTAAACGATATAACCTACCTACGAGAAATACCAAAACTTAAGTGATGCCCCCATTCGTTACAACAATTAGGAAGCTTTCAAACATGAGAGCTGTTCCAAAGCGTAAGCTGTGGTTACAAAGGAATTTTATCCCACGCCGGTTAATGTCACCCAACGATTCCTCTCCACGTTGCGTGACGTTCACTGTGTGTAGCCAAGGCTTCCGTAGTTTTTCTAATTCTCGAATTTCCGAATCAGTATTTCTACAGCAGCAACCCCAAACTCTGTTGAAACGTAAAGATTTGTTACAATCACGACCCTCGCTACTAGCGTAAACATAACTGTACAAGGTCAACCTTTTGACATGAAAATTCCGTTCGTGTCTTGCAGATGAAAGCACAAGGCCATTAAAAGACAGAAGGCGACGCCCAACCTTACAAGAAGTAAGACTTAAAAACTACTTTAACTCCGTGGAGTCATCGTCTTGCGCATCCTGTGAACACGTGAAAATTTACTGCGTGCAGGAGACGGTCACGTGATCCATTGCCTAGCAACCACGGAAACTTGCGGGACAAGAGTGGAAAAAAAAAGAACGAATGCAACTGCCTGGTGCAGAGAGGTTATTGATCATTACGTTATGTACGCCTTGCGTGCCTACAAAGTTAATTTTAAGCGTTTCACTTTATAGTTGAAGGAAAAGTTTGCTTGTTTGTTGGAATTAATTCAAGATAAATACAAGGCGATTCTAAAGCTGGGCTAAAAAGATCAGAGTATTAAAATTCGCTTGTCAAAAAAGAACAGAAAACAACGAAAGTTATAACATGTGAAATGTAAGTAAGAGTAAGTTATTATTAATATTTCAAGCACTCACTATAAAAGAACACAGTTCCATTTAGCATATTGCTATTAGTTACCCTGAATAGAGTAAGAAAATGCTGCATTTATAGGCTAAATGCCAAAAATGTTGAGATATTTATCTCCCAAGATGGAAATGTAAATGTTAATATGAAAATATCTTGTTAAGAGAAGAGTTATTGACTGGGAGGCTTCTCCCGGATCTATATTGTATATTGATTATATATGATAATCTTGTATAGACCATTTCCAGGTTGTAAACGTAGTTCTTAGTTCTAGAACCTTTACCAAAGAAATGATTTGTATAGATCAATGAAAACTGAACTCGATTTGAGCAACTTGTACCTGTTGTTAAATCTTTTTTCACAGAAGTTGTGATTTTACATGGAGCGGTTTGTAACAGTTTTCAGTACCGCTTCGGCAATGCAGAGTTTTCCGGTTAGCTTAGGACGCAATGCAATTTTTTTTTAAACCAATCAGAGCACGATATTCTAACCTTTTTACGGCAAGTGCGATTGCAGAGAATTTCTCATTACACTGTTCTGTTACTAAGCTTACTAGAAAAATGACTTGTAATCTTCATACAGGTGTCATCAATTTTCACCCTTCAAGGTGTAAGTTTTATAGCAGGATTCTTGAGCTTAGAGCTTTCAAGCCTAAGAAAGAGAATTTTGTTCGTACTGTGGATCAGGATGAGACCCCAAAACGCGTTTGTTAAACCACGGTTTAAATACTGTAATCGATTGATACTGAGCCAAAGCTATCCTTGCATAACGACCTAAGAATGTAATGAAGCTTTAATAATACGCGATTGATATACGTTTTTCCTTGCCGTTGCTGAGCATGCGTGTTTCCGCAAGTTTCGTTTTGCGTTTGTCGCTAAGTGATTGGTTAAAAAAAATCGTCCAAAGTGCCTACCCAATCAGAATAAACGTGTCTCAGGTGACTGGTCCACGTCACTTTTCCCGCGCTTTTCACGAACTGTATCTTTTCACTACCGTTTGATTCGATTCCCGTCTTTACACTAGCTGTCTGTCGCTGTTGATTTAAATTCAAGAACTTTGAAAACTGCTTGAGCAACCGCTGGGACTATTTTTGTTATTGTTCAATTGTAATTGCAGCCATTGTTCTATCGTACAATATCTCCTTAACCAATTTTGTAATTATGACAAGTAATTTAATTTAAATGCAAATTCGAATGATTAACTTTGTGAGACAACTAAACAAGGTTTAAAGTATAGTGAAAATTGATTAAGAAGCTTATTTAGCTGACTCGAGAAAGAATTAAAATTGCAATGTTGGTGACTTTGTTTGTGTCATTACAGCGAGTGGTGTTCAATCAATTCTGGGTCAAACTGAAACCAGCCTCTCGGTGAACACGAACGAAGTCGATGATTTTCCGAAATGTCTCCGTTATCTTCGGCGTTGACAAGCGATAACCAGAATTACGTCCGCGTTCGGAGGCAGGCTAGAGATTCTTCGGATTCACCCACAAAAACCAATCACCGCAAATCTTCGAATTCAGAGGGTACCCCGAGTAATCCAGAAAGTTTCACGCCAACATGACGCCAAAAGATACGCTGTCAGTCATGATGCGTAGAAAAAGTCCCCTCGGTTTGCACATATCTCAAACACGAGTCTGACCAAAGATTTGGGTTCGCTCCTGTCGTATAAGAGGGTTTATCATTTGATGTTAGTACAAAACCAGACAGTCCAACCGCTAATCGTGCTGCTTCACACTAGAAAACGTGCAGCACGTAAGAGACTTACTTTTTACCTGGTGTTCTCACCTCATTTTTTTCTAGCGCGGTAGACAATAATTTAATTGGGAGTTCTGTAGTCTTGTATAAATCTCCCCCAACCTTAACTATCCATCATCCCATAAAAGTTTTGACCCTAATCCGAGCTTGTTTGTATAGCCGTTCTTTGGAGTCCTTTTCTGGGGCTTAGAGGACCAGGACGAAGAAAAATATAGGGGAAAAGACTTCCCAAGGAAGTGCCATTGACCAACCATCAACGCAGTGAGAAAATCACTAAAAACAGTTACATAATCACAAGCAGAGAGTTTACCTCGTTTATCTTTGTCTTAAATTATTTATTAACAAACAACTTCAATATATATTAGAAACTTCATCAATGGAATAGCAGTATGTTTGAAAATACAAAAAAAAAAATTTGAACGTTACAAAGTGCGTTCTTCTTAAGTCGATATCTTAAGTTACACGAATGAGGATTGTACAAGTCTGAGCAATATGTACAAATTTTTAAAAACGTTTGTCAATATTTCTGCGTTATCAACTGGAACAATGTTGAACGACAACAAAAACTATTGTAACTCCAACTTTGGACTTCAAATGCGAAACAATGATCTGAAAGACAAACAGAGAACATGCGTCTGTCCTGTTATTGAGCATGAATTTCGTCATAACATTGTCAAAGAAGCTGTGGATCCACGGCGCGATAGCCGAGTGGATCCGCAGACTACTTTGACAATGATATGACAAAATTCATTGTCAATAACAGGACAGACGCATGATGGAAAACTGACGTCAGTTTGTTTTTTACGATAACAAATTGTCAAGTTGTCCGCTATCGCTCGTTGATGCATCGCATAAAATATAAATTCATGTGTCTGTCCGCTTATTGACTATGAAAATTAGCCAATGAGCGCGCGAGAACTTCTGCAGTTATCGTAAAAAAGGTAACGGGTAGATTTCGGCACGTCGGGGAGGAAGGGAGTATAGCCTACGTGCAACAGTCTCGCAAGGATTGCAATCCAAAAAAAAATTGATACCAAGAAAGAAACGTGCACCATAAAAAGTTTGGCTTGGGAGACACGGCAGCCTAACGATTGGCATGATCAATTCCCGCTCCAGCAGTCCGGGTTTAAGCAGCGGCAAGGGTTTTTGCGTTGTACTTTTCGGGCGATTCACTTTACAAAACCTCTCTAAACAAATAAACAGCTGGCAAATTGTTAGGGATGAACTAGCTTCACTTCCAGGATAGGTGTAGCCTGTGAACACAGATGAATTTCCGGCTTTTGTGTTCTCAAGGCTAAGATCTGTGCGTCAGCGATCTTCAGGACCGCAACGAGCTTTAACATAGAGCAAACGATTCTTTTGAGCAACAAAATGCTTTAAAATTTTTCTGAACTTTTACGGTTCCCTTAACATCTATCGCAAACATGCGCCCCAGAATATTTTTGAAGACAACTTTTTGCCAGACATGCGCGAAATCTAATCCTTGGGTAGGGCAAATCCATGGCAATGTCTATGTTAGTCAGTGGCAAGTACCATGGTAGCACGTCCATGTATAAGCAACGCAAGGGTTTAAACTACAGCACCAATTTTATTTGAAGGGAGCTAATTCACTAGAGTGGAAATCAATTTGCGGGCACCTTTCATATACATGGTCTTATCAGAGAAAAATAATCATATAGGTAGTTCCACCTTACCCCTCCTGCTACGCCCCCCCCCCCCCCCGAACCACTAGTAGAAACTACCAAGGGGAGTATGGAAAGATAGAGAGAAAACTGTGGGAAAGTCCAAATAAAGTCACGACTTCAAACGCTTACAAAATGAGGCTTTACAGTAAAAATACCTGATAACAAGTTCTTACCTTGCTTAGGAAAGGACTTTTACTCCGACTGTGCCTTCCCGACTGTAATTTTTCTGTTTAAACAGGAAACACATAACATGTATGATTACCGACCAAAATTGAAAGAAGATCACCAAACCTACACCATCAATTTAAAGATCACCAAACAAGAACACTACCTACCACCAACACTCGCAGTTTTTTGTTTTTCTTTATAAGTTTAGAAATGCGAGTCTTCTCCTGAAAACAAAACAAAAAAATGGATGCACATCACGGAACACTTCAGGCTACTCCGCAGTGAAGTTACAAAAACAACAGGACATAACATTCGCATATTACACAGGCGAACATGTACAATAGAAGACTACCAAGCAAGACTATCAACAACAACAACAACAACAACAACAACCTTAATTCACACTATTCAGGTACAAAAGAAAGGTAAGACAAAAAGAGAAACTATAGAAAACGTAATGATAGAGATTATATAACTATATGTTCAATTTGAGTCGATGTGCAACAGCCGAAGTAGCAAAGCTTTCGAGTTGGTTGCGGCTTATTTACAAATAAAGAAAGGAAGGAACGAAGGAAACAAATAATCCATCAAACCGAGGCCTGGTGCCCAACCATTCGTATGAAAATGAGTTTAATTTGCATGTGAATCAAATCTCATTTATCCGTTTAAAAATGAAGTGCGGGAACACTGATGGCATTGACGGTTCGTATGAGGTGGTGAGTATGGAAAAACTCTTCTTATCATGGTCTGGGGATGATGCAAAACACTGTGATTATCGCGTACCTTTCTGTTGGTCGGGTTCTCATAGCATAGAGAACATTCAAAAGCCTGTGGTGAAACAAAAGAAAAATCGTGTTAAAGAACAAATTCTCCTTATTTGCCTCCATGTACAAGACAAGCCACAGGTGTAGTTTTACACTTGAGCTTCACAGCTACCAATCTGACTAGCCTCTGATGCATCTATGTGAACTTTGTTCTGGCACCCTTCCATAATAAAATAAATAACATGGTCAAGAGACAGCAACCTTCCATAATGGAAGGGTGCACCGTTTCATAATAAAATAATTAAGATGATCAAGTGACAAGGGGCTATTCACCCTAAATTAGTTATACTAAGCCCGGCTTGGTTGATCTAACAGTTACAAACATTAAATGCTTGATCAAATGCGTGAGCAATTCGCAAGAAAAGCTGTTGTAATTTTCACTGACCTGGGCTGGAGGAGAGGCATAAAACTCGTCATCAAGAACTCTGAGATCTTTTTGGTGAACCTCCCATGATTCACCCAGATCCAGCAGTCTGATATAAATCTAAAAATCAGCAAAGTGTTTAGTTAGATAAGCTGTTTTGACACTAGAATTACCATACTGTGGTCTGGATCTAAATACTTTCAATGATATAAGTGTGTTAAAAGCCAGAAATAAAGTGAAGATCTTAATCCTTTACGGACAGTGCTTTTCTTGTCTTCCGGGTTGGTGCAGACGCGGTTCCCGAGGTTCCTTACCCCGTCTGTTACTTTACGGGAAGTAAAACTAAGCCAAGGAAACATGTTCCATTAAGACGCACAACATGAGATGACGACGTCATATCACGATGGAATGACGTCATGATTCCCGAACAGCCGCCATCTTGGATCCGCCATATTGGATTTCTTTACTTTCCCAGGCCGTCAAAAGTAAACAAAATGAGTCAACCCTTACGCCGTCGAATCGAGACAAAAGCCTTCAGCTACGAGACATAATTTAACAACCTACTTACCTTCCCTTGATCGAGGGTTTTCTCCACCAGTGCTCTGTACCAGTAATCGTCCAGTCCCTTCACAGCGCACTGCTTGTAAAGGTGGATTTCGCCAGGATCAAGAGGTCTATTTTTGGCTTTAATGTGAGCCCTAATGAAGACATAATTACTGAGCCTACACTGGAGAACAGCTTCAAATGATGATAGTATCTTTCATATCTGCACTTTATTACTTAACTAATGATGAAATTCAAATGTTTTGTTCAAGGAGAAGTGTACGAATTTACAGTAAGTCGTAAATGGACATCTGTTAACACAACAAAAGACTACTTTAAAAGAGTCACTTCTTTAATTCCTTCAACAGTTCACTTGAATCTGGGATCTTCAAACCAGCAAGTAATTATTCTGTAAAACGAATGATGTCAAAAGCTGTTTCCTTTCCTCAAACCAACAGCCTACAAAGCTCCTCAGCTGTGATAGCATAAGGCCGCTTTGATATGCGTTGGGGGTTACAAAACTCATTGTGGTCTCCCCAGGACCAATAACTGGCCTTTTGATAGCCTGTGAACAATTACTGCCGGCTCTTAGAGTCAGGATTGGAGTAGTCTGGCCTTTCCTTTTTAGTGAACTTTCGTCCTCAGGCAATAACAGACTGGTACACGAATGTAGTGGTTTGGCAAATACAGTACATGTAATTGTAGAACAGCACTAACCCCATCCGCTCCATGTCATCCACAAAGCAAGCTTCCTCCTTACTGGTTCTCACAACACGAGCCCAGAAAGTCCCGCTGCTGGACACGCTCTCTGTGGCCACAATCCAATGCTCCTTGCCTGTAAATTAAAAAAAAAAAAAAAGAAAAATAGAATGTTTAGAAAAGGAAGCCACAACAGACTTAGCTGGTTTTCATGCAGGCCCTTTATCCTGGTCGAATTGAAATTTGGAGTGTTCGTTTATACGGAGGGAGGAAATTCGGAACCCGGGCAACATTGGTGAGAGGCAAGCGCTCTCACCACTGCACCATCCCTGCTCCCCAAATGAGCATGACGTGATTAAAAGGTAAATGAAATAAATTTTGCCATGTTCCTTAAAAGACTGTTACACTCTGATATCCTTGCCAATATTTACATTCCTGTGAAAAATGACAACAGTGAAGAAAATAATTATTAAAAACCCAACAGGCTTGATGCAAATATTAAATGATTCCATGTATGGCCTTGTTATAATCTAACATTGAGGGCGTCTGCAAGCCCTGTGGGGAGTTTAAAGATTCACATTTCAGTGGACCAGGGCTGTCTGCTGCTTAATGGTTCCCTGTAAGATCTTGTTATAATCCGACATTGAATGTGTGTAGGGCTTGTGGGGATTGTCAGGGACCAACGACAGAAATGAGGAATCGCCAAAACAAAACCACAGGGCTGATATGCGGAGCCGAGGGCAGCAATAACAGCAGCTTGAAACAAGTGCACCAGCACCAAGAATGCACCCACCCTGTTTAGTTTTACTATGAACCATCCTGAATGATGCTGTTGTTGTAGTTGTAGTTAACTTAATAGAGCAGTGTTCAATTGCGTGTCAAAAAAAACTCAGGAAATTACTTTGTTATACCTCCCAACACAAATACATTTTCCGATTGGAGAACATGCCACGTGTCGGGGGTCAAAACTCACTAACTCCCTAGAGCAAACAAAACTCACTAACCCCCTAGGGAAACAACAACTTGAACTTTCGACTCGCACGTGATCAGGTCATGCTCCTTGAAACCGCGGCAAATTTGTGAGCCAGCCGGCGTCAAACAAACGATTTCTTCGCAGTTTTTTTTTTTCTATTTTTGAGTTGGGCGGTATAACAAAACACTTAATGACTGGTCCCGCGGGAAACAGTGAGTTTTGTTTCCCCTCGACCTCAATGTTCCCCTCGGCTTCCCCTTGGAGAACATTGAGGGTCTCGGGGAAACAAAACTCACTGCTTCCCTTGGGGCCAGTCATTAAGTGCTTGTTGGTTTTGACTTTAGTTTTACTACCTTTTGAGATTGGGTGAGTAGTCTAGTTGGTACATAATAGATCATAGTCATATTTTCGGTATTAGACTGGAACTAGCTTTTAACTGAGGCTAATGCAGGGAGTCTTTTCAAAGAGGTTTTATACCTTTTCAATGATATTCCCCCCCATGAACCTCCACTGCAAGCTAGTTCCAGCCCAACACCAAAAATATGAACATGGTCTATTGGTTTGGTTTTAGTTTAATAACACTCTAAATGATGCAATCCTAACCTATTTCTACCGGCAAATCTTCGCAGTCTGAGAGCAACTCCTCTGAGCTTCCACGGGAAAGGACTTCTTGTGAACACAAGTCGTTCAAAACAGGGTTATGTTTGTCTTGTACCTCACCATTTACATGACCTTCTGATACAGATGAACCCCCTGAGGAGACAGTTTAAGGATCAAATAGAACCCATCGTACAAACCACCTGCAGGTCAATTGGTTAGTATTTAAACAATCTTATGACTGTCAGCTGCCATTTATATTTCACCTGAGTCACAATGTGGCCAGTCTTTCTAATCCAGATTATACAAACAATAATAAAAAAAAAAACAACAGTGGATGAAAGCAGTTGGGAATGAGTAGACAGTGAATCATTTATTACAAAAAGAAGCACTATACTCTTCATTGGCTGTAATCTCAAGGCAAAGAGCAATAAAATCTGGCAGGGGGGTGGGGAGGTTCATTTAAGGCCAGGCACTGGGCAAATTGACCAGCTAAGAGGATGATTTTGCCGGCTGGTTTGACTATCCAGAGGAAGATGTTCTGCCAGCCTGTGAAAAACCAGTTGCCCTCCCGCTGAACACATTATTTAATGAAATCGCTGACAACATTTGTTGAAAGAATATGGAAACACATCAAGACAATTTCCCTACCTGCCACAATGTTGCTGTCATCACATACTACATCAATGAGAGATGGATCAGCAGAGGACCAAGAATATGCCTCATCCTCGACTCCTGAAAAGCTGTATGAACTAGGCACAGTATGAATTGACTCAAGAGCTGGGTCATGATAACCATCCTGTTTGAGTTCTGAAAAACAAACCAACACTTTTTACAGGGCTGTCAATAAGGGCCGTAACCCATAGCACCTGTTACAGCTGAGCATGCTTGATGGGCCCTTGATATTTCAGGTTAACTTGCCTGTAGTTGATACAATTCACCCATGCCGTAACAAGTTTGTTACGGCTGTGAAGATCAAGGCTACAAATGAATCAAAACTTAGTGACAGCCCTGTTTTAAATGGCAAACATTTGTGGAAAAAACTTCCCACTGAAGTGACAGACCAACCCAGTGTTAAGGGGTTTGGGACCAATTTTGCCACTTTTTTACCCCAATAGTGATCTAGTTACATTTATTCTCTAGTTTGTTTTCCTTTACTTCTGCAGTAATGGGTTAATCCCTTTGCAGATTACCGATGAAGATGTAGATGGATGTCTGCAGTTATTATTATGTGAAACAGCTAAAACTTGAACAGTACTAACAGAAACTGTCATTGTCACACCTACCGAACTGCCACATGAAAGGCAAAGGATGGTGCACTCAAGTGAAGCAATAAATCAACTGACACTTGTTTGCTGTTGACAATTGCTGCTGTTGGTACTAGTGGAACAAACTGTCTCACAGGCAGTTCTGATACAGTAGAAAAGCTAAAACTTCCATACATTTTAAACACTGGAGACTCCCCAACACATACAGTAGCCTTAGCCTTTTATCCTAAGATTCTCATTAAAATTCTCCATAACAAGGGTAGACTGTCTCATTCAGTTACACATACAAATACTAGTTGACACATTTTGGAAACATGTCAAGACAAATTCCCTACCTGTGTCACTGGCCACAATATTGCTGTTATCACACTTTGTCTACTGCGAATGGGTCAAGTGCGGGAAATCCACCCTTGATCCATCCCTAGTAGACAAAGTGTGAGACAAATACTACACACACTGTCTACCTCGGATGAATCTAACCCTAATTCACAATTACAGTGCATGAGTAGACAGTGAATGCATTTATTTAAAAATACAATGTTTATACTATACTCTTGATTGGCTGTATTCTTAAGGCAAAGAGCAATGATATTAGTTGAGGGAATATGGAAACACGTCAAGACAATTTCCCTACCTGTGTTACTGGCCCCAATGCTGCTGTCATCATCCACTTCATCAACCCCTAGGGATGGATTAACTTCAGACTCCCCCCAAGGATCAAGTTCATCTTCATTAGCCTCAACTCCTGAAGAGTTGCATGCACGAGGCACAGTATGAAGTGACTCATCAGCTGAGTCAAGATAACCATCCTGATTTTGTTCTAAAAAACCAAACAATACTTTTTAAATGGCAAAAAAATGTCTAAGTCCACCATCAATTATTGTTATGTGAAAGAGCTGAAACTTAAACAGCACTGACAGAAGCTGTCATCAGGCTTTTCATTTGAAAAGTGGCCATCCAAAATGTACTATAGGGCCTACTCAAATGAGCAATTTATAAGACAACATATGAAAAATAAAACAATTTTCTTTAGAAAGTGGCCATCCACAGGATGCCTGGACACTCATCTGGCTAAAAGCCTGGCTGTCATTCATCAAACCCACTGAACAGTCACATAATAAACTATCCTCAGTACTAAAAGCTTTCTGACATATCAGGGCTGTGTTCTACAAATGCCCAGGTGCCATGGACAACTAATATTTGTCTTTGGGTGACTTGAAAAACCTACTTTTTTACATAAGCTTACACACGTATGCGCTGGCCACCCAGGATTTCATGGTTAGGAACCTTTGGGATCCTCAGAATTTTTCATAGACCACAGCCTCACTAAATTTTGGACTATTCTTGTTCTTCTCCTACACAGAGACAATACTTTTGCACCGGGGCAAATCTGATTCTGAGCTGGTTTAAAGTATATTTACAAAGATCAGAACCAGGTTGGGCTGTGTGCTCAGATGTAAAAGAAAAAACAAACTAGAGGCACCAGTTTCAAAGTCAATCTCACCAGTAGGTTCAATCTTGTGATCTTCATTAACATCTTCCTGTCTTTCCTTGGGGGGTGAGCCTTCAGCTTCCATTTCTTGAGAGCTTGGTAGACTAGCCTCTACAAGGCTTTGACCTTCCATTGAGCCAACAGAAAAAAGGCCTACATCTTCATCTGGACCTTTTATCTGCTCATCATAGCCTCCTTGCAGCTCTGGAATAGCACATGTTCCTTCTTGGTCATGTGTGTCATCAGAATTAGTAATGACTTCTTCGCCATCACTTGCTGTCACACTGTCGCCATCACTGGACACAATTTCTTTGTTCTTAATAGAGAGAACTGGACCACAGCTAGTAGCAGCTGATGTGTCAGCTTGCAAGCTTGCTTCCTCTGGAGATGAATCTGTAACAACTTCAGACACAACAGAGAAATCTGTTTCCACAGTTTCAGGTGGAATGTCTTTTGGTGCCTCTTGTGCACTGCTTTCATCCACCTGGTCAACCTCGGAACACTTGGCAGCTTTCAAGTTGTCCTCAATCTACAAAAACCAAATGCAAATTGCAAACTTGACTGCATGGCTACAAAATCAAAAGAAGTATCACACGGGCTTAAGAAGTGGTAGCCTGCGAGAGCATCCAGTTTCTTTTTTGGCTTGTTTCATGGACCAAGGAAAAACCATCTGCGAAACCAAGCCACAGATTGGTTTACGTGACAAAATGATAATGTCGAACTACATACACGTACGTGTAAGTTTAAAAGGTTTAAATAAAAAATGAAACATTCAACCTACACGTATAAAGATGTTACAAATTGTACAGTGTCATTACCAATCCAGTTCCATCTGAGCTTGTTGTACCATACTGCATATACAAGGTATATGGTAACCTTCAATTATATATAACCAGGGCAAGTTATAAGTACAAATATGTACTTGCCTCTTGGTCCCAGTCTTCCTGTGATGCTGGCAAACCATTGCTGGTTTCTTCAGGAGTATTCCACAAGGGTCCAGCATGAGTATTATTCAAGGGCTCAGCATCATAGCTTTTCCTGTCTCTGTTCTCTTGATCAGCAAGATAGAACTGGTGATCCTTCATTGCTTGTTGTAAAATGGACTCAAAATTACCACTTGAGTCAAATGCACGAACAATCATCTGTCCAAGCCTGTTATTAATTTCATAACCATCGGCAGCTTCCTCAAGATACCTCCTTGAGAAACCACAATTAGGTGTGATCACATCGGCAAAATAAACATTGCTTGCGTAGATCCACTTTATATCGCATCTTCCAGTCATCTTGCTACCAAATTTAAATGGATCATTGAGCTTTGGGCAGCTCTTTGTAGAGTCAACAGCTGATACCATCTCAGCCATCCCACAAAACATAGAAGTTCTTATTCCTGAGAACAAGAGGAAAACAGGACTCTGGTCTCTGCGTGCTGCTTCACCAAAGACACGATTTAACTTTTGGTTGGCATAGGCTGTGGAACACCAAATGTTGAACTTCATGCCCTCCACAATCCTCCTGATATCAGACCTGATCATCAAAAATCGTGCTCTGGGTAAGTCCTCCTGGCAAATCAAATTGAAGGAACATTTGGTCAGGATGTGGTTATAAGTTGTAAAGTCAACACATCCAGCCGGCAAATGAGTATCTGTCACTGCATTGTTAAAGCCGTCAAATGCATTTACAGGCATCACAGTGACTGCTTCATCCTGTACTGGCAGGTGTAGAATACCAGGAACACTATTTTGCTCCAGAGCAGAGTGAAGAGGAACCTTCTTCGACAGTCCTTCACGTTCAGGAGAAACCGGAACAAACTCTGCTGCTTCAGCACGAAGTACAGGCTTATCACCACCCACATTATCATGCTCCTCAACAGGGACATCTATTTTATGAACATCAGCAGCAACTTGATCAGTAACACCAGTCTCAGTGTTTGTCTTTGCCAATGTCTCCTCTTCTTCAGATGTACTGCTATTAGCATCCATCTTTGGGACAGTGTCTTGTACAATGTTGCCTGGTGTCACTGTTTCTGAAGTATGTTGTTTGACAGTGTTGTCTCCACCAACAACTTCCACAGTTTGTACCTTTTCTGCTTTTGGCTGAAGAGGACGATCCTGAAGACAAAAATCATTAACACGTATTGTTTAGATCACGATTAACTGTTTAACCTTTAATTAACAAACATTCTTTCCCATCGGGAAAAAGCAATGATTTGCATCCAAATAAACAGGAAGGACAAACTCTCACCCCTAATCCATGTTTTTGGTCTTCCACTGAAATGTTGACAAAAAGAGTTGAGTTACATGACTTGTATGGTCATAAAAATTATTATAATAAGTTAATCATAATATTCACCATGACCAGAACAAGAGACAGAGTGGAGGATGGGCAATGGTCTCATCTGTAAACAAGCCTCTAAGACAGTGTATAAATTTAAACATAAGTGATAGTGGTCAATTGTGTGCCCAGTAACCTACAGCTGTAGTATCCCAACCAAGTTGATGTAAAATATATAAATTATAAGCTGAGAACTGGCATTATGTGTCTAATTTGAGCTGGTACATGTAGTTTCAACAGGCCCTTTGAACAACCCGCTCACTTGGTACAGGCTCAGCCATGCTAGGATGCAAGTGGCACAGTGGGATTTCCAAAACAACTTAGAAAGTCAAGCATTGCTTTGTTTTGGATATCCCACTGCATGACATGTGGCTCAGCATGGCAGATTTGTACAATGTGATGTGGTCATGCAAGGGACCTATATGTGTCATAATTATACTCCTCTCCAGCTGCAATGTAAAATACAAAAAAAGTTGAAAAGCAAAATAGCAAAACCCAAAGTTTAAGAAGAGCTGCTGTGACCCACCTAATTTTGCAACTTTGCTGTTGATACAAACTGGAATCTCGCCACATGAACCCAGCATCACATGATAAAGCTCACGGCCTTTCTTATCAGTGACCTATTGAGTGGCAGAAAATAAAAACTAAAACCCAGCAAAAGAATATGTACATTGATATTAATTATCAGACGACATTGATAAGATACCCAATGGTAACAGATCCAATAAAATTGAAACTCACATCCATTATATGACTGCCTTAATTTGATAATCTAATCCGGTCAGGTACATTGGATACACATACTGTTACCAACGCTAAGTTTAAGATTTCTGTTCATCTTAAAGGGTATTTTGGGGGGATATTAGATCTTGCCTTCACTGTACGTCTCAGTCATGTATCTCACATGTATCTGTTAGACCCGACCCAATCTCCGGTAGAGCACTGTTGTTATTACCTGGCCTTCCACTGAAGCCATCAGAATCTTGTTGAAAGTAAAGTCTTTAAAGCACCACTTGGCCTGAAAAGCATAAGAATCAAATTATTAACTATGTAGGAAAACATGAAGGCCTTTCATGTAGAGCCACACACACTCGTAAGAGAATATAATTGGATGGAAAACTACCAAAAAATTACATCTTAAGTGTGGTGGAAAGCAAATTATATTAGTAGTCTCTGTCATACACATAAATATTTTCTCTTCTATCAAAGTTGTATTCAAATTATTGCAACCACTTCTGTAACTTTGAATTCAATCACTTTTTATGTTTCAAACTTTCCTTGCATTAACAAAAATATGATTTATTAATACACCCTTGTACATTGTATCAGTCTGTCCCCATCCAACCAGAGTTCAAACAACAGCATACATGTTCTTTCAAGTGAACGATGACAAGAAAGATTTGCATTACCTCATAAGGAAGTTGTGTTTCTGGATCAGGAAGTAAACAACACTCCAATGCCTACAAGAACAAAAAACACTCTTGGTGATCATTTTCACCTTAATTTTGGCATGATACAATGTACTGCTGCATGTAAGATGCTATAAATTACTACACAGTCATACTAATGACTATACATTTGTTACTATTAAACATCTTGTTCTCTGTTTATACAACCCTCAGGCTATTAAATTTCACAACAAAATATACATTAAAATAAGTAATGTAAAAAAGGAACAATAAAATAAAAACTCACAAAATGCAGGAAGTGCCTAACAAAAATTACCACTTTGTAGAGTCTGCTTAGAAAGTATGTGTTGCAAAAAATGTCAGTTTATTTAATAGAATGGTGCCCAACAAACACCATTGATAATGATACAACCCTTGACTATACAACTATACCTGAAATGAAATATCAACCACATCTAATGGTAGTTGACAAAGGCTTGAAGGTGAGAACTCGTCAACAATTCCCAAGTCAAGGAAACGGAGCCTTGCCTAGAAACACAGTGTTGTAAAAAAAAAAGGATAATGTAACATTCAGAGAAATAGTTTACCATGAAACATCACAATTTTAAAGCATCTACAAGTAAATCAGTAATATCAATTTAGCATTGTAATAGTCAGTGTATGCATGTAACAAGCACCACCTGGGTACCAGAGGTTTTTACTTTCTCATATTGCAGGATACCTTGGATCAGCCAAAGGTTGACATGGTTGCCAACAGAGTGCATCTTGGGATACAAGCGATTGGAGTTTTTGGCATATAATGGCGTGCACAGTGCCAGTGCTGATATATAAACGCTTAACTACGTAAGGTGACTTGGTGTCACATCTATGACTTCTTAACTTTGCCCCCATTTTATCCCATATTGAATACTGTATCCTGGCTGATAGCGGGTATCTTATGGGATCCGTTTGAGTCCAAAGTTTCCCAGTGAACATAATACTAACTTAGAAAATTGGGATTATTTGAGCAGAGCAACAGGGGACTTTGCCTGCTTGCCTGGCTTTTGTTACCCTTGGTGCCAGAGGTTTTTTGTTTTTCGTGGTGAAGCTGCAAACAGTGAGCTGTGATACTGCAATTTTTGCAGTGGAATTTAAAAAGCCTTGGTGTGTCTTTGGCGTGGAAGTCTTGTGGAATGCACCCTAGGTTACCAGTGACACAGCTGCAAGGAAAAACCTCTATGCTGGAGTGCATAAACTTCCAGTTGATGTCTGTGATTGAAAATATGTCTGTGCTTGAGCACTCTATTAAAGACTTGACTGAAATCAGAAACTATGCATGAAAGGCATCTGGCACCCAGAATGGACAAGGACAGTCAAGCGTTGCACAATCAAAAGTTTATATGTACGTGCTTCACAGTGCCTTACTAACTGTACGACCATCCTAGCACTGAAAATCAACTGGAGTAATCAGTATGCAGCATTCCCAATGTGTAAAGCATGTGCATCCCTACAAACCCCTTCATACAAATATAAGTTAGTACACAAAGATGGATTATTGTGGTAGGTGTAATTTGCTAATTAAAAAAAGATTTCTGCAAGTTTACCAGATATAACAACCAAGGGGTTTAGTAAAGAAATACACCACCAATAATTTGTGTGTAAAAAATGTGTGTGTAGAAAATCTTTACTTACCATGCCAGAGGTCGTAACAAGCTCAATCCTGGTTCGGCAGAATTCTTTGACTTGTCTATGGCGGACTGCACAAAGTGTTCCCTCTTTTAGAACAACAGGGTCACCAAACCCATGCTGAAGGTAGTATTTTCTACAAAACAATTCAGTACGAAAATAAAAAACAACTAGTACTGTAAATTGTACATGACAGAAACAATTATTAATAATAAATAATTGCTAATGTTTCAAACCTCCAAGGGGAAGGAAAATTGGTTTGAAAAATTGGGTAGTTTGAGAAAAAATCAGGGTTAAAATTACATTGTTCGACTATAAGAGGAGGGAAACAACTCTTGGTTCAAGTTATCAGGTTTGAAAAATCCAGGATTCAAGCAATTGGGATTCTACTGTATACAGAATAAGATACAAACAAGGCGCCTAATAAGAACCGCACTTGATAGCAACTTGAATTTGCCTCTGTTTTTCCATTTCTGGTTCTCCTATCTTTGCAATCCAGAAGGATCCATTTCTGGCCAGTGATCCAACCACACAGACAGGAAATACATCTTTACCTAAAATGCAACAAAATTGTCTATCATTGCCAGGCTAGTGATCCATGTGAGCAATTCATGAAATGACAGCAGTATATAAAATGTACAGCCAAAGGAGAACTGCACCTTTCAGCTCATCAGGGAGATTAACACGGGGTTCCTCTGGGGGACCTTTTTGGTCTTCAGCTATAGGCTCTTGTGAAGGTTTTACACAAGGCTGATCAGATGAATCCACAACAGGACCACTCAGTGGTTCCTGGTTGGTAATTGTAGTTTCAATGGGAACAGCAAAAGGATCTTTTTTAGCTTCGCTTTCACCATCTCCAGCAGGAGAACTACATTGTGTAAGCATGGATGATACCTACATGAACGCAAAGATAAACTTAGGATGCATTGCATGACATTTGCTGCATTCTACAGTATAAATTATACTTATTTTATGATCATTTCATAGTCTTCGTAAAAGGATCTTGTCACACCTACATGTACATGACTGTAATGTACACTTAAAGTTTACTATCTCGACCATGTTATCATGATTTCCCAAAACAAAATGTATAATCTAATCACAAGATGTTTAGAATTAATTTTCCTGGTAACCAAAATAGTCCAGGCTGTTAGAAAATGTTATCAACCACTCAGTACCTTAACCGTGTGAGTGAAAAATCTGTAGACACTGATTTGATTCTGACAGGTCAAATTGTGTACTGACCAATCACAATAAAGTTCAGGACATGTATGTGAGCAAACCTCAAAACCACAAACCAAATTACTGATGTTACATGTATTTGCAGTTTAGTTTCCTTGTTCATAATATTGGCTTTTCCCTTGCCACACAACACAATGACATTCCATAAATATTTCTGGGGTTCACGGTTTATAGAGTTTCACAGTAACTTCAGACAATAACATTTATGTTGTACCTCAACTTTGACTATCCTAAATATTTCAAAAACCTCATCCAACAATAATTGTCACTTTCAACTGCCACATTACCTGGGAAGGATACAGGAATTTAGAGAAGGGGGTCCGAGATACAGACTGCCAAAGGTGATCCCCTGTAGGGAGGTCCATGGGGTATCATCCCTCAGAAAATTTCCAAAATTGAGGTCCTCAGAAATGGGATTTCCAGCATTGGGGGTAAGTCAGCATGTTATAATAAAATTATCTCATTTTTTTTTCAACTTAGGGTGTTTGACGAAATCCCCCGAACCCCCTACACGTAGATACACCCCAGCATTGCCAAGCAATTTAATGGCAAAAAAACAATTGTAGTGCTGAGCTGATTTCTAATTCTATGTAGCAAACTTAACTAGACAAACCGCCATGTACATTGAACCTGTTAACAGTACCTTTGCCAAGTAGTTGAAAGCTTTCTCAATTTTTGTTTCACAGTCTTTAATTTCAGCAATTCTCTTTTTTGCTGCATTTTGAAGATGGATCAACTGACTAAGAGTCTCCTGAGAGTACAAAAGAATACCAAACAATGCATTTACTAGTTCAGCCATGATAGATATTCACATACAGCAACAATTTTGAAAAACTTATTCACCAGAAATGTTAAAACTTTTGAGGAAAAAAACAGTTAATTTAACTGTACTAAATAAATGATGTACAAAGATGTGCACAATTTAATTCACAGGACAGATTTAAAACAGGACAATGTATCCAGATCAAGCAGCCTGGGTTCCAGCCCTAGCTGGGGACATCGTCTTGTGTTCTTGGGCAAGACACTTTACTCTCACAGTACCTCTCTCCACCCAGGTGTATAAATGGGTACCGGCAGACTTAATGCTGGGGAAGACCCTGCGATGGACTAGCATCCCATCCAGGGGGGAGTGGAAATACTCCTAGTCGCTTCATGCTACAGAAACCAGGATAAGCTCCAGCCTGTTGGGCCACTTGGCTTGTATGCAGACTTTAAAAATAATGTAAATTTCTCAAAGAGCTCAGACAATTTCAACTCTGTTTTGCCAAATCTAATCATTGGATTTGGTTGGTGGACTTTTATAGAAAATGAAACTCATTTAGAAAGGCAGTACATGTATTCACAATTAAGAAATGTTATTAAAGTAAATGGGTGAAATTATTAATTAATTAATTAAAAAAAGAGCTGATTGTGGGCTGCCTTTGACTTGTAGTTTACATCACCCAAAATCCATACCTTTTCTTCTGTTTCTGTATATTTTAACTTTGTCAGGACATTTTTAAGCAGATCATTTTCTACTTCTATTAACCTAAGAAGAAAGAAAAATTTTTAAATTTTCTGATCAGAACAGCTACTGTAGTTCAAGTACATGCAAACTCTGTCACTGAGAGAGTCTAGTAATGAATAAAGTTACGATGACGTCGACATTCCATCTTCTACAGTACATTCTAGAAGCTTTTAACTTACTTTTCAATGTCGCTGACATCTTGAGACAGCCTTCGTTCTTTTGCCTTTTAAACAATCAAGTTAGAACAAGAAATAGTTAATACCTGTAGTAGACCTTTACAAACATCGTATAGTGCCTGTACAACTACATGTACTTGTACCACTCATGAAGCAAAGAACTTAACAAGGTTGAAAGGAGGTAAATTGTACATGCAGAAATAGAAAAAAGCATACCATAAATCCTCCACGTGTATTTAGAAATGCTAGTAAAGTGCCAGATTACCCCTGACTTTTTGAACCATACATGTACTCAATAAATGAGGAGTTATATATTTTGCAGTTAATTACCATTCTTATTGAGCATTGTTGATAATTTTTCCGAAGATCACAAGTACTGTGCATGGATGTGCTTATTTTTTGGTTATAAAGGAGAAGAAAGTTAAGTGCTTTATAAAGAGGAGAATTGAAAATTTCTGGTTGTAAAAGGGTTTCTTTGACATGGGACTTCACAGAGGATTCACAGTTACTGTAGTTAATTAAGGCATTTTGATTTTCTATGGCATTACAAAACACTACATGTACACCCTTCCTACATTGTACCATAGCCCAATTCCGAGAGCCCTAAGCTTCTCTATCAAAGTGAGGCCTGGTGCACAACCATTCATACGAAAATGAGTTTAATCTGCCTGTGAATGAAATCTCATTTTCATAAAAAAGGATGGGCAACAAGACTCACTTTGACAATTACATTTTAATGAAAAACTAAATTAAACATTTTACCTTCAGTTCCAATGGCTCAACTTTGTGAGCCCTGAAGACATCAAGGCTGTGTACTTGGATGTTACATTGCGCGCACAGATTTATAATACTCTCTGCAAAATTCAATCATCACTGCAGTAAGGACACTCGAACTGTAAACACATGACATTTTTTTGTACATTTTTTTGGTTATATAATATACAAGAAAAGCATTTTATAAAAAAAAAAGAATCTTGTTAATTTGAAGAGCCCTCATTCTGCAGTCACTAAATAACTGTACAAAAAATGTCAAGAGTTCACAGTTTAAATGTCTTCACTGTAACACTATTAATAATATACATGTATATCTATAACAACAGCATTTAGCCAAAAGAGTAAATTCCTGAGCAATACATGATTGGTTTGCTCCCAAACATGAGATTCCACAAAAAAGGAATTATGGCAAATGCTAAATTTGAGACTTTGCCAGATGGCCAGTCTAATTAAGAGATAGAAAACATTTACCATGTTTATATCAAGTTTTAGTATACATCTACTAACGTTCTATCACGAATGCTGTTCTCTGATTGGCTACGCTACTCACTATCTTTTCTGTGATGGATAGTGAGTAGCGTAGCAGTGTGCCCTTGTTAACAAAATGACAGCCACTTCTTGGCATTTTCGAAGTGTCTGTGAAGAGGATTTAGATTAAGTTTTGAACAACTGGTAGATTTATACTAAAACAATAATATTAGATTATTCGCTCTCGATTTCTATCAACCGATAGTTGACCCGGGAGAATGAGAGATGTTATGGGAACACAAGCTAACCGGCGAGTGTTTCCATAACTTTTTTAAATTCTCCCAAACTTCCACAAGTGTTTCTATAACTCAACAAAACCACGGAGAATATGTTTTCTATTTCTTTTAGAAAATTCTGTGACAAAAAAAAAAAATCAACTTGGTTAACCGATCATCAAAATGTAATTTCTCTTTTATCATGCCATCATTATGTGAACAGCTCGTGCTGGCTCTTGTTTCAGTCGAGTTATAGAGATATGATTTTAAACCAATCAGCGTACATATTTTCTAATATATTTTACTGAAGAGATTTTTTAAGATATCTTCTGTCACATTTCAACTGTGACAAAACCAATCACATGGTACAACTACACATCATGGATCTTTCTCACCGTTTCTGGGAAACGAATGGTGTTTCATTAGGGTTTACCATCTTGTGCACGGGTTGGTGACTTGCTTCAGAGAAAAGCATTAAAAATAGTCCCAGTATCTTGCAAACAAAATGTAAAATCTTTTTTCACGGTACCTCTGCCGCAATCCCAAGCTCGCGAAAAATAAACATGACACTTTGTCGCTTTTTTCTCAATTCTTGGAAACACACGGTATCCAAGAAAACTACAATGGCAGTTTCTTGGTAAAACTTACCAAACAAATCACAATTTTCATTCTAAATTTCAACAGATTTGCAGCGCACAGCAATTATTTTTTTTTCCGTCACGTGCAACCAGTACAATATTTTGCCTGGGCATACTTCGGTACACTATAACAGGGCAAATGAAATATTTATTGAAAGCAAATGGTTGGAATAAAAAGACTTGCGGGAATAAAATTACTATGTACAGACAAATGAAAAAAAAAATAATAATAACTTACCATATTTACAATCAAAGCATTTGAAATCTGCTCGCTTTTCCGGATGATTGTAGCAAATAGGCGACATGGCCACGGCGGCCATGGCCGCGTCGTTCCTCCGAGAAACGACCTCTTTAGGTGGATTTGTTTAGCTTTCTAAACCGAAAAGAAAAAAATCACAACTGTTTTCACGTTTTTTCAGCTGAAATACAGACAAGAACCAACATAGTTTCCATCCGCTTTCATTAGCACTGTGATCACTTTTGTAATTAACGATTGTTTTGTCACTGGTTACGCATGCTTCGAAGTCTCGCGCGTTTTTCCTCCGAAGATGACGTAGATAAGAAATATTAGATCGTCGGCTTATCTTCGTAAGAGTTCCTTATCTATCCGACGATGCGTCGCTAAGTAACAAATGGAGCGTCTTCACCTTATTACAGAACCGCTGGTCAAGAGGAACGAGTGCTCCCATTGATGCAAAAGCTAGTGGAAATCGCTGGAAAAAATTAGGAAACTAGACTGTTAATTTCAAAATTCTTTACTCATGCCCATGAAGATTTTCGTATTTATTTGCTTCGCTTCCGTAAACCGTCTCGCTTTTTCCTTCTTTTATTTGATCCCGTGACTGCATCGCTGCTCTGTCGACTCACGATCGGGCGAGAAAAGCGCTTATCTTAAATTAAGCTGAGAATAATGATAACATATAATTGAAAATAAAAGAGACCGCCTATAGACTTAAAAAATTTACATGCAAATACAAAACGCTATCTGCTAAAATTCCCATGGGGTCACGCGGTCTCTGTGTCTTATTGTTAAATGATGTCATACGGATAATTAAGCATAATATATTTATTAGTCAATTGTCCTTCAAGTTGGACTTGAGTGGCCAAGTGAATTATGCGTTTCTAAGATCACGCTTTCATTCGGTTGAAATTTTCTGGTAGCAAAAATGAGGGGAACCAGAAAATCTACGCTTATGACTCCCGATCCCTATCACATCCCGGGGTAAGTAATCGCTAAAAGCACTATATCACATATTTGTTTTATTGCGCGGGCATGTCTGTCGATAAATTGCTTGGTTCTCGAAAACGCTTTTAAAACTTTTTGACATCATTTCACCAGCGAGTTTTGATGTCTTTAATACGGTTCCGTTTCTTACACAGGTATTGTGGTTACTGTCCACAATTCAAGTACCAAATTGGCGATACATTCGGCAGAACTACCTCGCAACTTTTGACGACATCTTCCGTGGCGAGTTCTGGCAAGCCGGTGTTATCCGACATCACTCCGCAGCCTCGACCACCGAGAGATGGTAGACGAGCTCTGATAGCCACGCGAAGTTTGAATCTTGGCGATCAAAAACTGTGCGACGAGATGGTTCCGAATTACACGGGTAAGCGAGTGAAACAATACTGTTTCTTTAATACTAGCTAATGCTTGGTCAACTCCGTTCTATGTTTAAGCGATTAGCTAATCCTACATTATAATCTTCGATACACAGAGGAACGTCAAAGCCTTTTTTCGCGAGAGCTCTACGTAGCAGACAGCTGAAACGAAACTAAGCCTTTATTGACAAGCGTAAATGTTGAATAATGCTACCTTGCCTTGCCATCGAACACCGCTGAACCATTTTCCTGCCGATAGAAAACAGATCGAAAGAATTTCACAGTAACAAACCCTGAACCGTCTTTGTCCGCGCAATTCGCTTTTTGCGATTTAAGTAAAAACATCAAAGAGACCGACAATTTTTACTAGGAAAATTAATAAATTGAATTTAATCAAGCAAAAGCGATACTATAAATTCTTAAATTAGTTTTCAAAATGTTAAGAGAGCGGACGATCGAATGTTTTCATGTTGTGTGACTCTGTGGTTCCACAGTTTACAGTCGTTTCCAAGGAAGCGACCTGACTCGTTTTCAAGGGCTTTAAAATAAATGTAATGTATGCATTGCCCATCAAGATCGTTGACCTGTGATAAACTTTTGTTTGTTATATTTGCCCGTGTCACTCGCTTTTATACATTTGAATCTTCGACTTTTAAAGTGACACGCAATTCATAAAAACAAGTTTGAAAGTTTGAAAGAGCAAAATAAACAAAGATTATTAAATATCTGGCTTTTTTGTCAAGCGTAAACTTCAAAATTACTGCTGTAAAGAATGTTTATCGTACGATGTGAATCAGTCTTGCCGCCCATTGTTATTTTTCTATTATTTTAAAATAATTGACTGTGATTTGATATGTCGAGGAACGAAAAGATGTTTTATAGATTACAACTCTTTCTAAAGAAGCATAATAATTAAGCACACAAATTGGCGAATTCAACGCCAGTCGGTTTTGTAGTGCTTGGCCGGCGCCAGACCGAACGCTTCAAATCCTCAACAGTCCTGCAAAACATGCGTGACTTGTCAGTGGACCAACTCAAGTGACGTCAAAATATCCAATCGTTTGCGCTTTATGTAACAAAGCTAAGTCTACTTTTTTTCAGGTTACATACCCAAAGGAGAACATTACTTTGGAAAGCCGTACGCAGACACCTGCCTTAGCGCCATTGCCAGCTTCCAAGAAGATCAAGTCAAACACCATCGGAAAATCCGCGATCTTAGAACCATCGCAGAGCTACAAAGAGGCAAAGAAGTCCCGCAGGAACTTCTTTCCGATAAAACTCTGATCAGTACTAAGTACAAGACTCCACTAAAGTCAATCACAGTGAGGCCAAAAGCCTACTTCTCACCCCAAGCGCTACAGCACTCGCTTTCTCCCTTCATCATGAGTAACGACGACCCGAAGAAATTCCTCATGTCGGGATACACCGGATTTGTCCCGCGGGCTAGGGGTGAAATGGGCGTGGGATACCCACTGTTGACGAATAAAGCGCTATGTGAGTTCACCAATGAAAGCGAGCGGCTGAAGCGTGTTAAGGATCTGCCCGTGACAGTTGTCCGTCCTGAGATTAAAATAGTCGACACCAAGCCGATTTACGTGAAGGATTCGGGTCAGGTTCCGCACTACACTGGACACGTGCCAGGTAACGTATTGACTCTTATGTAAGTTACAAGCAGGTCTCTTTGAACCATACAATCTCAAGAGCGGGAAAGTTGACCTCGCTCCCCGTTTTCAGTCTTCGCGCAGCCGTTTCCTCGCAGCAGTTTTTCCTTTGCTTTTCGCCAACCTGTCGATCGACGAAGGAAAAAATGAGACTGTTGTTAGTCCCGCGTGTCAAACGTTATAAGACGGTAGACGGGATTAGGGAGGGAGGAGTTTGGTCTCTGAGCGTGAATATGAGAAAGCAGTAAATTTATGCTTATTTTCTTTTTCTCGATAAAGCTAGACTGCGAGCAGTTTCTCTTTCGCTCAAAAATCCGTGTGGAAGAACGCAAAGAAGAACGCAACACAAGTATGCGGGGCCGCGGACCGCTCGTCTTCCGGCGCCCGCGCTACTCGCGGCTCGCACGTCACGCTCGCAGTCACGCTCGCGCGCTCACTTGTTTTGCGTTCTTCTCCATGGATTGAGGAAAAGAGAGACTGCTCGCAGTCTACGATAAACCAGGCGCTATGAAATGCAACATGACGGCGAAGAATTCAGCAGTTTTACGAATCAGTTCAAAGGCTTATATCTGACTTTCGATCGACTTTCGATCGATTTTTCCCTTACTTGGTGTTGTTTGGTATTCTTGCAGGTGAGAAGTTCCGATATGGAATGACATTTGGATACAGTACTATGAATGCAGCACCAAAAAAGGCCCTTACAGTGTGAGGACAATTTTAAGATGAGCCTGCACTACCGAAACAGTATGTGTAACGAAGAAAATTTTAAAGCATCATCATCCGAATGACAGGATATATCCTACAAGCATCTGTACATGTATAGAGCAAAGCATTTATTTTGTAATCATGAAGACCATCATTATTCAGATATTCTGTTAATTTTGGTTAAGGTTGAATAAAAAAAATCTGCTAGTAAACGATGGATGGCTGCTTGGTTGTTAAACGGCTTGCGCTTGTTAGTTGCTCAAGACCTAACGGCGCTATGAAGACACGGGGAAGGGCGGTTCCTTTCGCGAAACCCTCACACTATTTCATACCAAACTTGGGGATTCTCGTTCGTTACCCTTTCAAAACTGAACCAAAACGCAAACCCTCTTCCACACCTCTTATATTAGACTATCACAAGTTCGGTTTGTCCTCGTGTCAAATTTGAGAAAGGATTCGAATTCCCCGATTTTGTCCGGAGAAAAATTTCATCTTAACAGCATACTGAATTCTGGACCACAATGTAAGATACGCCCCCCGTCCCCGCTACAGTTAGCCTGCGAACAGGCTCATGTTTGAGGACCACACGCGCGAACGGTGAAGCCAGACTTCTCCTGCAGGATTGCTTCGCTCGCGCGTGAGACTCAAAAGGTAAGCCTGCTCGCAAGCTACACTTCAGCCTAAAGTGGTAAAAATTTACTCGCTATTTCTGACCAAAACAGCTCACAACGGTACTTTGAGTCCGCATACACTTATGTGTACGTTACTTTTAAACAGTGTATCCACCCGGGCAAATAGGCTAAAAATCGGCGCCAGTGATCGCTGTTCTAAACACTAAAAAATGAGTAGACGTGACGGTAGATGCGAATGCAGCCATAACACTATTGGAAAAAAAAGACCTGAAAAAATTACTATAAAAATGGAGTGTACTCTTGTTTGTCTCAACTGGTTTTACTAGAGATAAAACTCTTCCATCTCCTCTGAAACATTTTGCAGAAGAAATCAATATTTTTTTTTATCCAGACATGTAAATTGAATAACAGCCTGATAGGATATGATAATTATTTTCCATGCATTGCTATTTACATTTCTGATTTTCACGTTAAAACAGCTCAACGTCAACGAGATAAAGACGAAAACGTAATCACGGTGTATTGAGATTGAACAAATCAATTCATTTCAATGTGTAAGTATACACAACATTGAAGTTTCTAGAGGGACTTAAGTCATCCCTTACATGTTCTCCAGCTGCTCTTTTAAAGTCACAGCACTGAATTAAGAAATCCTCTCTTTTCAGTTTATCTGCAGCTTTCGCACTTCAGTCCTTCCACAACCAAGAATCAAAATTCGCCGGCGTTACATTAGTATCCTTCCAGATTTTTCTTTGCTTTCGTTTATTTTCCGTGTTCTCCGTGGAGGCAAGCGATGAGTAACGCACACACCTGGTTTAGCTGCTGGCCGAACATCCGAGTTTAAGCTACTGGCAACCTTAATTGAATCGGCTCTCTTCCATTACGCCGATGACCTGAATTCCTTCCAATTGTCATTTCACTCGTCGGATAAAAGGGCAAATGGATTAGAGGAGACGACGTCAGTTTCCTCCCCTTCCTGTTCGTCGTCTCCGTCACTACTTGGTCTCTCACTTCTCCTGCCCCTACCTGGGGGAGCAAGTAGATGGGATGAAAATTCGTCTGCTTCATTTTCCTGTTGCCGTAACCGTCTGCTTTCCGAGTGTCTTTCTTGAAGAAGGGCAATCTCCTTTGTTTCGGGGTGATTCTGCCATTCAGCTGTTAAGAAAATTAAGGCATTATGTGACTTTTCCTTACCTAGCCTGCGTCGCAAACGCTACCTACCACACGTGCAATCGATTACATGTTTTTCCGCGGCTACGGTCAGCTTGAAGTTTTCTCCCGCACCTTATATACTAGCTGCATGCGTTTCCGCGATTGCAGGGGTCACTGAGTACAATTGAGCTTCGAGCGGATTGATTAAAATTACTATTTATAGTCAAAGAGACCGAAGTGCTGTAGTGACCCGCTCTGTGATAGAATCAACTAATGTAAATTGTCTTGATGTGGAAACAAGTCCTTAGAAATGACATGAAAAGAAATGCATGCAGAAACTTAGGGGTGATGATATCAGAAGTTTCGAGTTTGGAAATGAAAGGAATAACTGACCTTTTTTTGAAATGAAACCTGGCGGATATACACACATCACGATCTTTCCATCTACCGCCAGTCGTAAGAGACTATTGGCTACGAAATAAACCAAAAGACACATTATTTTAACGGCTTCGCTCTAAAATCCCCCGCGTGAGCAGAGTAGAGAGACATAATACATCACAGATTACTATCGCATTGACAGGTGCACAAACAAGGGGCGTTTTCCTGCATAATATCTCCAAGGGCCAACTTGTTAGTATGTAAGCGGTGCACCCGAGGAGTTCCCGAAGAGTTCCCGAAGAGAGTCCGATTCTTTATTTCGAATCAGAACTACTATGCCAACTTCCGTCACTTTATTACCGCGACGCACTTCGCGTGACTAAGCAACATCCCTATTGAATATTGCAGGCTCAGCCAGTGATTGAGACTGAGACTTAACTGAAGAGTTTCCTGCATTTCTTCTTTCTCCGATTTTCGAAACCTACCTGCTCGATATACATCGGTGCGACCCGCCTTTGCTGTCAGGAAACCCCTTTTATGGGCCCAGGCTGCGATAAACAAAAAAATGTATGTTAGGAGGAAGCTATTCATCAACTTGCAGTTCAGCTGATACTGGTAAAATTAACAGTGTCTGAAGTGAAGCACTCAGTAATTTATCATCTTGCGTTCGATAAAGATGAATTAACAGCCGTAACCAGTTTGTGAAGCTGACATTCTGGCCCGGGTTGTTCGAAAGGTGGACAACGCTATCCACCGGATAAATCACCATCCAGTGGATAGCGTGGTTTGTTTTGTCAACATTTATCCACTGAATACCGATTTATCCGCTGGATAGCGTTATCAAGACTTCGAAAAACCGGACCCTCAACGTTGGCCCGGCCTCGTCAGAGCTTCGCCTTGCTTTAGCACTGACGAAAGGCTAACGCTCAAAACTTCACATACTTGCTACGGCGGTTAAGTTCAAGTTGACAAATGGCTAAGTGTTTCTCTCGCCCGCCGATGCAGCACAACAGTATGTCACTACTAACACTGTTCGAAACAAGAAGCACTGCTCGCAGAAGTCAATTTGTGGCTTCACCTTACCATCACACACATCCCAAGCTGACCAAGGGTGGTTTTCATCCCCTACGGCCCCTCCCTCGTCATCAGAATCAGCTCTATTCAACGGGTGTACCAACTGCAAGAGATCAACTAGGAGTACTCTAGCAGCTAAATATCCCACAGCAGTGTAGGGCTCTTGTACTTGTGAGATGGGATACATTCCAGACAGTATCTAAAGTTAAGAAAGCAAAGTAACCGCGGTAAGATCACTTGCGGTGTTAAGGGCAGTTGCGATTTCATATTTTACATTCTGGGCTCGAGGTGCTCTATGGCATATTACTTTGCGATAACCGTCCTGCGTGCAGTCAGACAAATAAGCAATGAATTCATGATATCACACGGCACGACACGGCACGGAACGACACGACACGACACGACACGACACGACACGACACGACACGACACGACACGACACGACACGACACGACACGACACGACACGACACGACACGACACGACACGACAAGACAAGACAAGACAAGACAGAAAAAGACATGACACGACACGACACGACACAACACAACACGCGACATAACATAACATTTAATTACAGTGGCCAATTGGCCAGCGGATCCTCTTCCTCCAGCCCGACCCGTTGAACTTCGAAGACTAACTCAATTTTCTCACACTGAACCAAGGCTACTCAGGAACCTCAAGTCGCCGTAATTAGGAGTGGTATGAGGCGAATAAAGACTACTTAAGAACATAAACGCACTGTAAACATAAGCTGTTTTAACAATCACCCAAACGTTACTAAAGCATACCTGTAGTTGTTTTCCAACAACAGAGGGGAATACTAATCCAGGACAGTCACACAGCCTGACATTTGCTGTTAGAAATATGGTCTGGAAGTGTTTGGTGTGACCGGGCGTACGAGATGTGCTCACAACCTGTTGAGGATAAAAAAATACACGACCTTGAAGGACCACAAGTGGAGAGAAGTAGAAAGCAAGAGAATTGGAAGGTACAAACCTTGTGTCCAACAAGGCCATTAAGAAGAGAAGATTTTCCAACATTTGGATGCCCTAAAATAACAGTCAAACAGGATTAAAGATTTGATATTCAAGACAAACAAACAAGACCAACTTCTATCACCTTCCAAAAAGGGCAGTTCATGCTCTTATTTGGACTAACACTGCAAACGAAGGACATGGAGGCGAAATTTGCACGCGGAGACCTGCAGGTATTACAGGCACATCAGGGAAAAACTTTCACCGCTCTTTCCCTTCAGTACTCAACGATCCCCAAACGATGTTTGTGTGCTTGTTTTGTTTTTCTTGTTGGACGTTCCTTGAGTACCGGTACAGGGTAGTTCCACGAAAAATTGTAGTGTAATTGTGTTATTGTGCACTAACCTACTAAGCCTAACGTCAAGATATTCTCGTTGTGCTCTACATCTTCAAAACTACCGCCTTCCTCCTCTGCAACGAAGAAAACACAACAGATCTTGAAGCCAGCAGTGTTGGCAATCCAACCTCCAAGTGCAATTGTTTGATAAGTGACGAGTGAATGAGATAGAGCCAAGATATACCTTCAGACTCGTCAGAACTGCCATAGTCATCATAAAGAATTCCTTCTTCCTCTCCTTTTTCTTGTTCACTGAGTTTTCTCGCCCAGCTGCTAAGGTCGACTAAATAAGGATAAATCGTGACAGATCAAAGAAAAAAGTTGATGAACGAATCAGCCCAAAATACATTAATTTTACAAAGAAAAAATCGATTCCAGGATAATTGATTGGAATTAACATCATAAGAAAAGAATACCTACATTTTGTAGGAATGTATTTGTTTCTTATTTTTACAAAATTACATCTTTTACTCCAAATATCATATTTAAATGTCCACTTAACTCCAGAAGCAGAACACTACATACTTCTATCTCCACGTAAATTTTCACAAGCTTCAAGAAGAACCCTGGGTCCAACAGGAAAGAAACCTCTCTTGCGACGGCGACGCTTTGATAAAACTGTTATTGGGAGAAAAAATCAAATTGAAAGTCAATGCTAATTTGTCTACAGTGGGTCCATCTGCAGTGTATTCAAATGAACTTGTGCTATTGAACTACCCCTATCGTTTAGACTCTCCCTCACAAATAATGAGCTCTTGTGAACAAACAGGGGCATCTTTCTCATATCAGAGGGTCTCAATGCCATAGAGGTAACCTTTGACAGTTGGTGGTTAATAAAATATAACTTTTTGATGGTCAATGCTTCAATTTTCAGTTGTTGAGTTTTGTTATTTGACAGTTGACGGTTGATTTTTAGACCATTTTATGGTTGATGGTTAACCCCACTGAGAGCCTGATATAAGGTCTCCTTCAAAGAGAATTACTACAAATGAATAAACTGGCTTGCCCAAGAACACAGTATAATCACCCCAGCCAGGGCTCATGCCTGTACTGCTTGATCTGGAATCCAGGCCACTTACTAATGGCTGCAGCATCTCCTACAAGATCCTTCTTGACTGGCTAAATATCATTACAATAAGCACTATCAGCCTTGTACAATGTTGAAAAGTTCACTACCTTTGCTTGGATCCTTCTTGCGCTCATTCTCATCCTTAGGAAATGATGTAAAACACACAACTTTGAGATGTTCAAACTTGGATTTAAAGTACTGCTTCCAAGCTGTCACTACCTCAGGAGGCACAAGATCAATCTGCAGCAAATTAACAGCCAGGCAGTGAGTGAGTTATTTAACTTAAGCACTGAATTACTGGCTGATTTTTTTTTTCTGTCAACCCATGTGCACACAATAAAAATGCATCTGATTCAACAGGTTTTCACTTTTAATATCATCATCCTCTTCAAAATTTCCAATAATGCCGGGGTGGGTATGGATTTTTCCTGTAACTGCATTCACTTTGCTGACCAGCACACTTCACAGTGGAGAGGAGCACTGCGAAAGCAACGCACTAGCCTAGAAACACAACTCTAATAAAATTAACCTTTGGCCTCTGCACATCCCATCTGTTTTGTTACCTTATTTAAGACTAACACTAATTCCTTCTTCAGATCCTGCACAACATGATTGTGCACAGTTGGAGGGAAATGGAGAACCTAGTTGCATAGACAATGAAAGAAATCATAATGTAAAAATAATTAGTAGAATTCTATTAGTATACTAATGCAAATGCTGCAATCTGATTGGCTGGGCTACTCGTATGCTATCAGCCATTAGAGTGCAGTGGCTGTGGGTCCTCCATGAAATGCAAAATCTTCATCCCCTTTCTGAAGTTTTGGAAGAAAGTTTAGATGTAAATAGCTAATTCAATTCCTGAGAGGACTAAACAAAGGACATTAACAGTTTCTTGACTCTAAAAATTTGAAATTATAGAAAAAACTGATGCACGCGCACACACAACTTCAATTTTAAATGACAATTCAATCCGAGCAACCTTTTTCAGGTGCAAAGCTTAATATTATGTCAAGAAATAATTGGAAACAGTTATTTGAAGTAAATTTTAGTAAGAATTGTACTAAAACAATTAGATTATTCGCTCTCGATTTCTATGTGGTGATAGTTGATTTGGCCTTCCGCCTCATTAACTATCACCTCATAGAAATCTCGAGCTCATAATCTAATTGTTAATTAGAAACAATAATATGCATGGGCAACACAATACTAATTATTGTGTATGGTTAATTAAGTCAATTTAACAGGTCAAACCTTACCGGATGTCGAATATCTGTTATAAGAACAACTATGTCTGAAACTTCTAACACTCGCCAAAGCTGTCTCCAGGTCTGTAATATAAAATTGAAAATATATTAATTTAATCAATTAAAATACCCTTTATTAATAAATACATTAATTTCAAGCAGTACTGTGGTGATACAAGCCCCAAATGAGTTCAGAAATTGTCTGTCATGTTCTGTTTGCTGATTAATTAAGGAATATTCATAAATATTATTTTCCTTGCTACCTAACCAGTCTACTTCAAAACTTTTATTTAGTTGGGCATGGGAACTTACATGTTGCGTTACTCAAATTTTTACCTCCAATTAAGGAATATTTATAAATATCATTTCCCTTGCTGTCTAACCGGTCTGCTTCAAAACTTTTATTTAATTGGTCATGTGAACTTACATGTTGCATTACACAAATTTTTACCTCCAAGTTACGTTCAAAGTAACTCAGTTCAGAGAGCTTATATTCATCATAAATCCTGTCCAAGAAGTTTTCAAACATTTCTCGCTCAGATCTCTCCACTTGTTCCTTGCTCATGCTGTATTTCCAAGGTGGCCTTTTAGGCATGTCCAGCACTAGGAATGTCAATTTAATTGTCAACACATGAACATGTTAATCTAATTATGAAGTATTAATATTAATTCTAATTTCAATCAGTCATTTTATAATTCTCCTTGCTTACACTTAATGAAAATTAATCAAGAGTAAGCACATCAAGGCAATCGAGGATTTATAAACTTTCTATCTCAGTTCTCACAGTGAAGAAAAATTCCTCCCCTTGGATTTTCGAATAAATCTCCTTGATGTGGGTATCTGCATATATTTTCTTGAACCACAAATTGTACTTAGGATTATGTCAGTGGCAGGCAAATTGCCACCAAGCTAAAAAAAAAACATGCTGTATCAACAATGCATACCTTGGGATTTACTGTAACTTGCATCTACTTTCCCAAGACTTCACTCCTGAATTGTTTTTTAACCACAAAAGCCTGCTATGTTTCAGAGCTTTCTATGGTTCGTGTTCTCCATTTATCATTTACAATTCATCATTATTACCAGACCTTTAACAAATTATTTGTACATACCTGATCCAGGCTTGTAAGTAGTTTCAAGACCAACTTCCAGGTGTTCCTAGAATTAATGTCATTTGATCCCTAAATATAATTCAATACACCTTGAACATTACAATTTTGCCATGAAAAGCCAGACAATGACTTTGAACATGCTTTAACATCGAATGTGACAAAATATATTACATTTTGTTTTAAAGATGTTACAGACATGGATTCACAGTAACATAACTCTTGACAGTTGAGAAGGTTTTCCACAAACTTCTCAACAATGAGCTGCCTCTTTCTTCAACATTTTGTCTCTATTTACAGCCTAATTTTAAACATACCTCTGAGACATATTTCAGGGGTTCTTGTGCTGCCTTTTTTCTGGCTTCAATTTCACCCTTAGATTCACGATCAAACTGCAAACGATATCTAAAAATATAAATATAGCACTTGTTAATAATAGAAACACAATAGTAAAGGGTTTGAACCAAGGAGTGCCTGCAGTTTTTCTAGTGTGGTCATCTGGGTGAGGGTAGTTCTGAAAAGAACTGTTTTTGGTGATGGATGTTTCAACCGTTGGAGCAGAAGTGAAGTGTTTGTCACCTGATAGAGTTATAAATCTGGTCCATTGAAACTGATTGGGGTTGTTCAGCTATGATGTTACCGGCTATTTACTGGTGATAAAAGACTTGTATAAAGTTACTGGTCAGTACAGAACTTTTTTCTAGTAATTTTCAATCCGTCCATTGTCAGTTTTGCTTGCTAAACGTTTATTATAATTACTACTATTATTTCGGCTGCTAAATCATATAATCTTTAAGTTAATAAATGGTAACTTCAAGAAATTATAATTTTTATATGCTATAGTTAGAGAAAAAGTGTAGCATATAAAACTATATTTTAACTTTGGTGCTTTTGCAAAGAAAGCCTGAAAAATAAGAATATGTTTGTATTCATATCTGAAAGAAGTAATAAGTTGGACTACTAACTGAACTGGATACTGTAAATGACATGTACCCTAAAATAACATAATGATAACACTAACAGGGATTTAATTAACGACCTTTTCCTCAATCCCAAATCATTGAAGACAAGTTACACTCTACAATCCCCTTTACGTTTGGTTACATACATATACTAAGCTTAAACTGCTTGCAACACCTCTTTTTGAATAATAGTTTTTTACAGCACGCCTGAGCAACTCCAAAAACCTCAAGAAGGGCAATTAAATCAGGACATATATTGTCATTTCGAAAAAAATCAAGGAAGGTCCATTTAATTGCGTTTACTCTCCGTACTTTGACACTTAGCAAAATACTCGAAGGTAGCGAGTACCTGTTTGGGTCATGTTTTCTGTTTTTGTCTTGAAGATGAGAAACCGGTTGATAGTGAAGTTTATTAGCAGCTGCTGTGTTTTTGTCGAGTGACTTCTCTCCTATCTCCGATTCTTCCTCGCCTTCTGTATCCGCTGAGTTTCCGTTTGAAGACTTGTTTTCTTCGTCTGAAATTAACGCCATGTTTGGATTAATCATTCAAAAAGAAGTTTAAAACCACTTATGCAATTAGACTGCTAAACAGAACTAGACAAAAATCAGCTCATAACAGCAGAGCAATTAAAAAAGACAAGATACCAAATATTGTACATTATATTTGTACATGTTTGATGCAGTCAAGCTCTTTGGATGTAAACATACCAAAGTTTTTCACCCGTTTCTTTTCCCGTTTCTCCTGTAATTGCTTCTTTTTCTGCTTATTACTAAAAGGTTTTTTTCGTGGCATTTTCCAGTATGTTTTTAAACCATAACAATGAAGTTTTCAATTTATTTAAATCACATCGACTAACCTCGTCGTGTAAGAACCCTCGAAGCTTGGTAACCCTGTTCTCTGAAAGGAGGCGAATGTAAAGTCAAGATGGCGGAACAAGCAAACTGAACTGAAGTATTTTTCGTAACGTTTTAGTCTTAATTGAGCTTCGCGCTAGGCGTTGCTTCGTTAAAATTTTGTTTTAAAAAGATGGTGAGTAAGAAATGTTTCGAATTTCAATGTTTTTAGATTTCTATTAGGACTTTTATTCATGTATGCAAAGGCATAAACAACCGAAAACTTTGTTTCTCCAATGTGGAATTTGCAGTCTGTCACATTACACACTGACTTAGGGGACTTAAAAATCGAACTTTTCTGCGAGGATACTCCTAAGGCGTCCGAGGTAAGGATCTTTTACCATCCTCATTGTAGTAAAATTCTCGCTTTGACTTCAATGTTGGTATTGCAATTGAATAAATGAAAGCAAGACTTAAGACTTATCTGAAACTTACCACAAGTCACCAACGGCTGCCAGTAATCTTTGATTACCCAGAAAACGCTAGAACAACAGGTTTAGGCAAATCATTTTATAAAAAGCATTTTCATTATTATCCTTTGCAGAACTTCCTTGCTCTTTGTGCAAGCAACTACTATGACAACTGTCTTTTTCATAGGTGAGTTGACAGAAACGGTCAGAAACGGTCAGAAACGGTATATGAACTGGCAGGGCCGGGAAGTGTCTTATGCCCTATCAACACCAACTAAACTAATTTAACTATATCAGGTTTAGGTTTTTCCACTTTGTTAATTACTCTTTGCAGTCATTTTGAGAAGACAAATTTTAAACCACCTTGGTAAGATATTTCAGTCAAACAGGTTTTGCCTTGTTTAGTTGTGGGGTGTGCAGGGTATGAGCAGCTAATAATTTTTTGACCCTCTTTAGTTAAACCACTTTTAAACATTTTTAACATGTTGGTGTGAATGGGTTATTAGGAAAATTGTTATGATCATGCATGCATTAATTTGCACTCCAGTGCAAATTAAAAATTAATGATAAATTGACCTGCTCTGTGCCAATCACAATGAAGTAATTAAATTTCCTCTGTCATAATTCTCTACTCTGAATAATTTCAGAGCAGACTGACATCATAATAAATCCATCTGTAGCATTGAAATGTTTGGTCAAACTTGCGAATACACGTAATAAAGCTTTGCCTGCCGTAAAATAACTTAACAACTTTATAAGATATCCATTCTTTGAAATTGTAACCAGGACTTAAATAATAAAGGTCAACAATCTTTTTATAAAGTAATATTTGTTTCCCTGGTGTATTGTTTTTTAAAACAAAATGGTTTGAGTGTTATTCTGTTTTGGTCCTCAACAGAAATATTAAAGGTTTTATGGCACAAACTGGAGATCCTACAGGTCTGTGATTTATATTAAAGTAATTAAAATTCTGGATTGCAGATTATTTAGAATCAGTTATCTCTTTTGAAGTGTTATTTAAGACTGTTCTGTTCTTATCTGACAGGAACTGGAAAAGGAGGAAAAAGCATTTGGGGAAAGAAATTTGCAGATGAACTTAGCCCAGCACTTCGGGTTAGTGTGAAACTATGTTACCGGTATATCTGCCTTGCCAGATGTGAAAGATTTTACACAGTCTTGATGGTTTTGAAAAGGCTGAAATAACGAGCAAATCTCAGTAGTAGGAAACCAGTCTAACAGGTCATTTGTGGTAATGTCTTATTATTTCTAATTTCACGAGAGCACAAAACATGACTTTAAGTCTGGAATTTGCACAAGGAAAACACTGGACAATATCTCTCTCACACTATCAGACATTTTAATGTTCACTGTCACTGCCTTTTTAACCATCATGCATATTTTTTTTTCTAATTAAAACCCTTGGTGCTGGCCAAAACTCTGTCAGACTTGTTAAAATATACAACACAGCTTCACACTAGAACATTTAATATGTTTATGCTGGTGGAGAATTCAGAGATACATCCATGCATTGTCGTTTATGTAATTTATTCCAATATCACCTACCGCCAGCATAATGCAAGAGGAACAGTATCAATGGCAAACAGTGGACAAGACACAAATGGATCACAGTTCTTCATCTGTTACGGCAAGCAGCCACACCTTGACATGAAGTACACAGTATTTGGAAAGTAAGTTATCACTTATCGCAATAGTAAAATAACATTTATTATTTATAGTTGTTTGAACAAAGGTCAAAGTGTAGCTATCATTAATATATTTTGTCATTACAAGACATTGTAGGTATACAGTAGGTATACAGTCAGGTTCTAGAAAACCCACAGCAGCCAATGTTCTTGGTAAAAATAGTAAGAGCTTTTAATACCCACCATTGGAAGAAGTCTGTGTTGCCAGCCATGCAATGTTTCCTTCCCACTGAGAGGGATATAAAGATGGCATGATGAGCCAATATACAAATCTTTTCAAGAGACTATGTCATTGCCTTTTATTACAATGTCAACTTGTTTTAAAAAGGTAATTTGCTGTCACCTGTTTATCTTTTTCAGGGTGATCGATGGTTTAGAAACATTAGATGATTTAGAGAAACTGCCAGTGAATGAGAAAACATATCGACCACTTACTGAAGTGCGAATAAAGAATGTAACAATCCATGCAAACCCTATAGCGGATCAGAGTGGTTAACCTCATCAAATAACAATGCAGGGTTTAGTTGAATACAACTTGGGAGCACTTCTGCCTAAGGAGACCAGAAACATTCTCAGAGAAGTTTCAAAATCAGTCTGTGCTTCTCACTTGAAAATGCAAGAGTCTGAACAGTAGTGTTTGAGGTTCAAATAGTTTATTTTGAAGCAAGTCTTTTATCATGTAACATTTATGGACACGGTATACAATGACTATTGCCTTTCTTAAAATGTTCATCTCGCCAGCTAGAGATGACTCACTCAAATCAATAATGCTACAATCTTGGCCTTGTGATAACTTGCCTTAAAAATAGTTCAGGCAGGTCTCTCTTGCATTCCATTTGGTGCTGTCTGCATACAGTGGCCTTGTTGAACTGAAGATGTTTTTTAGAAAACGTTTTAAAGAACAGATGTACTGTACATGAAAATGGGATCCAGCATTTTCTCTCATGATAGCATTCTCACTTCTCTATTATTTTGATGTAATAAAGAAGAATTTGTCTTATTGTGTATGTCTTAATCTTTTGTTGACAATCTCCCAAAAGGCGTTCCTTGGTAAAAACACTGATGAAGCATAAAGAATTCCAGCCATGATTCCTGTGCATATCACTGTCTCCATGCACACCTTTTCATCATCAATTGGCATTTGCACAGGCTTATATCAAATCCTGATGTACTGTACATTCAATACATTTTGTTCCTACTTTCTTGAGTGCTTCACAAATCTCTCTGGGAGCTAGTAAGTGTACGTCACTTTGCAATGAGGGTTTCGCAGTGAGTTAGAAGCTCCTCACAATACCTAGAGTTGAAACAAAAAGGCATTAATTTTTAATCTTTGAAAACAACATTGACAATAATTCAAGATTGAAGAAATTATACACATATTTTTAAATACCTGGCCACTCTGTGTTTGTGCCTAACAATGTCGAGTTGTTCTTTAAGAAGCAGAGGTTGTACATGTGCAGCTTCTTTTAATACATTTAGCACAGCTTCCTGTGAAGTAAATTATGTATACAGAACAAAATATTGACTTCAATTAGGAAAGGATAAATAATGATGTAGTATTGACTGTAAAGTCAATAGGGAGAAATGGTCACCAATGTTACATCAAATACACACCTGTATAGAAGCTAATGGGTCATCAAGATGAACCAGAAGACCCTTGAACATGGCTTGCAGATGTAACTTGTACAAATCACTGTCATAACCTGATGGAAAGGCTCTGAGGGAAAAAACAGAATAATAAAATTGTTTACTATGTACAGCCTTAGAAAAAGGAACACAAACAGCAAGCAGGACAGTCACAAACATGAGCTCCCACGTGGTGGTTTGAACCCCAAAACAGTTAGCTCTCAGGCTGGTGAGAATCCTGTGAAGGACCTTGTCAATGGTAACTGAGTAGTTTGATAGCTTGAGCGAAAGTTGCCAAAACATTAGTCACTGATAACTGTCCATTTTCAAGACTATTAAACTTACTCCTACAGTGACATTCTTGACACATAGTGCCATTTCCAAGCTAACTGCTAGTTGACTATTTACAAATGGTTACTGAATGACATTCGTGGGCATACTCAAGCACATAATTGCACGATTCCCCCTTCCTATCATTTGTTTGTGTAAAAGACAAGTTATTTGTTAATACACACTTGTTTTCACAAGTAATCTCATAATTATTAATAATCTCATTAATTATTGATAATCATAATTAAGTGGGAGATCTGTCAATTGGCACCTACCCTCCATTAGAATATTGCTTATCGACAAGTTAATACACAATAATATGAAGACCTCATTTACAGGATGTCCAGCACTCACTTAAAATAAGCAAAAAATGTTCTTGTGACAACAATCCGTATCTCATCACTACTATCATCCATTCTCTTCAGTAACTCTGGGTAAACTTGATGAAGCATATCCGCTGAAAATGCAAAACAACATATCTATTTTTTTTTATAAGGAAATCAAAATTATAACTTTGCTGTAATTCACAATCAGCTTGGTCAGCCATGCCAATCAAAATGATGCAAAAAAAAAGAAAGAATTAAAAGTACCAGTAAAACTATCTTTGCAGGACAGCAGTAACCTCTGCAGAGCTTTACATGATACAAGTCTTGTGGTTTGGTTGTGGTCTTCCAGGCAAGTTGTGAGCTGCAACGGCAAAAATTAACTGCTTTAAAGAGATTTTGAGACACTCTAAACTGAACAAAGTGTGAATATCGTATATCCTCGAATTGGTGCCTCCCCCCCCCCCTTAAATAAGTAGCGAACTTAAGCAGCGACGTTTTTGAGACGCGGACGGCAACCGGAAGAGGAGTGGAGCTAATTCTGGCGCGCTTCTGACCTGTGGGATCAACTGGAAAGTCATCGTGTTTGTATTTTACACCAAACTTTCCTGACCAAAAAGCTGTAGTGAACACCTGGAACGAGAACTTTTAATTTCCGGTTAGCGTCCGCGTCGCAAAAGCGTCACTGCTTAAGTTCGCTAGTGCCCCCTTTGAAAAAGCGCCCCTCCTACCGGCCAAAATTTAAAATAAGTGCCCCCCTCGAATAAGCGCCACCCTTTCCTCCCCCCATTTTGTGGATGAGTGATGGGACAACAAAGGATGTATGGTTTTCATCGTGTAGTATTAGATTTGTACGTTGTTTCAGTTTGTGAACATGTTAAGCTTGGGAAAAAATTACAAGTACTAACGGTGCCGCAATTTAAACTTCAGGATCAGCTTTTTATGTTGATAAACAGCTGATGTTGTTGTTTGCGTGCAGGTGATGTACTGTATATTTAAAAAAATGATCATGTCAGGCCACGATTTGGGAAAATTAAATAAGAGCCCCCTCGAATACACCCCCACCCCACCTTCTCCAAAATTTAAAATAAGAGCCCCAGGCACTAATTTGAGGATTTACTGTATAATTGTTATAATTATGAGCTCCTCTGAATTACAGTGTACTACAGAGACTGTGCCATTTGTGACAAGCAGTAGAGTAAGATGGTCATTGGCCATGTTAAGTTGAGGAAGATGACGTTGGTTACTTAAACAGGAATTTATAGAATGATTTAACTGCATTTAGCTTCTTTTCTAATTAATATTTGTTTACTGTACGTACCTGAGTTAGAAGATCTTTCATTATCAATTCAGCATCTGTAGAAGACAGTAAGTTTGACTGCAGTAAAGCCCAAAGACAGGAGATAGATGCAGAGCGGACAGCAGCAGCAGTCCTGAAAACAACCATGAATCCAAAACTGAAATTGTTTCTTACTGGCCCAACAATAAATCGAATTTATTTAATCTCAATGAGTTCCATTTATGGGCAATCAGAAAATTGAATGTTGATGGAAAGGATGTTCATTATGATCAGGGCAAGAATATGGGCAAAGATGAGGTTGATGATGAAGATACCTTTCAACTAAAGCTGTTCTTACCGATACTACTACCAGTTAACAAGCTAAACGTTAGTCAGATATGAACATCATGACAAAGAAAGTACCTACCTTCCTGCTTGCCAAACACAGTTAGGGATGATGAGTTTCTGCACTACATGTACTGAATATGAACTGAATGCTTTCTCTGAGTCCACTGACTGGGGAGCACTCATCAGAAGACGAGACAGCAATGAAAACATCCTGCAAATGGAAGGATGCGAACACTAATATTGTTGCACACATTCATCAAATTATGAGCAAGGCAACAATATTTTTTTACAATTTACAAACCATAGTTAATAGATGGGAATCGTTATGAGGCCCAGCAAACATCGAAGGACAAACAAAGATGACAAGGGTTATGTTGGAGGGTCCATGTGATGACCATGCACAATCTTTTGTTTTGCGGTCATGCACTATGCCTGAATTATGTAACCAAATTGTTTCTATTGGTTTGTTCCTCTGTCAGAAGGTAGCAACTATAATTGTGTTTTGCCCCTGTCAAGGCCAATAAAAGCAAACAAAAACACACAACAAAGAACTTTGTCACATTTCATCAGCATTCCGCTCTATTAACTATGTAAAAACCAATAAATAAAGGTTCTGTTGTTAACCCATGAGGCTAATGGACTGCACAATGGTTGCACAAAAATGAGTTATTGACAAAAGACACTTTATGTTAGTCTTCAGGAGTTTATAACTATTGAGTAAATAATAATTATTAGGAAATTTTGTTACTGATTACATCTCTAACTGATATGTAGGTAATTTGATCTCTTACTTAAGTCTTAGTTCAGGATCTTTTTTCAGACTGTCTAAACTCTCTGTGAAGATATCCATGGCATCTCCAAGATGCTGACCAATAACTGGTCCAGATTCTGTTAACAAAACGTCAAACAGGCGACACTCTGGAGAGTGGTGAGTCCAAGAGCTGTAGTTCCCCTAAAACAACAATTTAAAAAAATAAAGACTATAGCTGCATGCATATGTACATGAGTTTATTATTACTCTTAATTCCAACACATTGAACAGAAAGGACTTGAAGCACAATAATAGGAATTTGAAGCTTTCATTGATTACAAAGGTTGAATCAAAGGAATGTAATGTGTAAATAGAGCTCTGTGTCTCCAGTCCTGTAATTCCTGTGGTTACTACATACTACAATAGGAAATCAAGTGACTGTCTAATACCTTTTTCTACAGCTTTAGAGGATTGGATATTTCATTATTACTAACTTACTTTTAGCTTTTTCAAGAATTCCTGGATATGACTTTCATACAGCTTATTTATGTTATCCAAGCTTTGAGCTGTGACCAGTTTGATTAATACAGTATTCACCTGTTACAATAAAACACCACAAAAGAAACAATTCGTGAAAAATTGCAATGAAAACAACCTTGGGTCTTACATTCTCTGATATCCGCTTAATCTTCCTTGTCTTTATCACTTCTGGAAGATCAACCATTTTAAATTGACATTTCGTAAACTAAATTATTACAAAATTGTCTTCAGTGATTAAGTGAAATATCTTCCCTCAGACAGTACCTCTTGATCAAGGCTTCCCTGTGGTTGTAGTGCCATCACGTGTATTACCACATAGAACAAAGTGAAACTGTGTTCACCGCTCTTTTCACCAGCCTTGTCTATAATTGCCACAACAGTTGCCAAGAGATGGCACTGGCATGGCAAATGTTCTGTGCAGCAGATGTCTGGTAGGGCAATTGTGTCACAGATAGCCTATGGCAGAGATCAGCAAGAGTTCAAAGATGTTATGCCTCATTCTTTTAACATGGTTCAACTAAGACAAACAAGTTTTTCCATCACACAAAAGTTACAATTTGTAGTGTTTCCAGATAACAAAGTAACATATGATAATAAGATGCTACATCAGCTCTGCTGATCACACATTTTTTGTCATAGGTCTGCAATGTGTCCAGAGAGTCATTAACTTTAAAGCAATTCAGTCTGCTCCTTGAATAAGACAGGCTGTTCTCATTCTGGCCACGATCAAACATACTTGTACCTTGAGATGAGGTTTGAGCAGCTGTGGATTGCACCCTCTTAATAACGCAGCTACTATCATCAAACAGCTGCTGCAGCCCGTTGCCGAGCTGCCTGCTGTTGACTTGAGGTGAGGAAGAGCAAGCTTGCAGAATAATGCAGGATCAACAAAACAACCAGCTAGTTCAGCACTTGATACAACCTTAAAAATGAACAACAAAGGATATGGTACTCAGGCCAGATGCTGGGGTAGCACAGTTCAACTGAGATTTGAAATTCTTTTGAAACTCAATTCAAACAAAAGTTAGTTGTGGGATAGAGCAGGTGGGGTCAAAACGTACATAGCATATTATAGACATAGCCACTGCAATTTAATGCAAATCTCCTCTGTCAGCTTTTTAGTGGACAGCATTATCATCATCATCATTCATTCATTCATTTATTCATTCATTTTATATAAAACTCAGTAAAAATCTTCAGTAATTATCAGTAGCACAGGTATTCAAGAGCTACACATTGCAGGACTTCTCTTTTGTAAGGGTGATATGGATAAAAGGGTTAATAGTATACTGACAGGCTTTGATGATGAGCTATGTTTGAACTTGCAATCAAAACATTTCACAACAGGGGAACAATATACTACACAGTCGTGTAGCCTGTTTGAATATCTTTCAATAAAATGTTAATCTGCACATGGCACAGCACAGGTTTCCAGTTATCCCAATAAATGTTTATTACCTGTTTCACAACTTGTTCATTTTCATCTTGGCTAGCCTTGTACAGCCCTTGTAGCAATATTTCCATGTGCTGTGTTGTGTTATCCTCAGCATAAAGCAGTAAGAAATAAACTAATGATGAAGCCTGTCAAAGGACAGCAAAAAAAACACTGTTTTAAATGATACTAAAGAAAACATTATTTGAAAGTAATATAATTATATCAAACACGAGAGAGAGTGTTTTATTGGAATATCCGAACACTGAGAAGAGAGCTGAAAATACAATGAGCAGCGGAGTACATTTGTTGAAATTCGAGGTGTTTGGATAGCCAATGAAACACTGTCTTGAGTGTTTGTCAATCAAAACTAAAACTAAGGAGTAAATGGAGAAGTAAAATCGTCAAATGTATGCTAATTAAGATGGGGGTATCCAAACCTGCATCACGGTTGTGATTTTCTTTGCTTTAACTTGATGAATTATTAATGAGTTTGAGAATGTGTAATAAAGCACTGTACATTAGCACGAGCAAAACTATCTTGAATGAATAAAAGACATTACTGACACTGGATATTCATACTACATGTACATGTACTCCCATTAAACTATATTAACTACATTAGCAGGGCTGTCATTAATTTTGAGTCACCTGTAGCCTCGTTCTCNTTAATGCAAATCTCCTCTGTCAGCTTTTTAGTGGACAGCATTATCATCATCATCATTCATTCATTCATTTATTCATTCATTTTATATAAAACTCAGTAAAAATCTTCAGTAATTATCAGTAGCACAGGTATTCAAGAGCTACACATTGCAGGACTTCTCTTTTGTAAGGGTGATATGGATAAAAGGGTTAATAGTATACTGACAGGCTTTGATGATGAGCTATGTTTGAACTTGCAATCAAAACATTTCACAACAGGGGAACAATATACTACACAGTCGTGTAGCCTGTTTGAATATCTTTCAATAAAATGTTAATCTGCACATGGCACAGCACAGGTTTCCAGTTATCCCAATAAATGTTTATTACCTGTTTCACAACTTGTTCATTTTCATCTTGGCTAGCCTTGTACAGCCCTTGTAGCAATATTTCCATGTGCTGTGTTGTGTTATCCTCGGCATAAAACAGTAAGAAATAAACTAATGATGAAGCCTGTCAAAGGACAGAAAAAAAAACAATGTAAAATGATACTAAAGAAAACATTATTTGGAAGTAATATATACCAAACATGAGAGACAGTGTTTTATTGGAATATCCAAACACTGACAAGAGAGCTGAAAATACAACGAGCAGCAGGGTACATTTGTTGAAATTCAAGGTGTTTGGATAGCCAATGAAACACTGTCTTGAATGTTTGTCAATCAAAACTAAAACTAAGGAGTAGATGGAGAAGTAAAATCATCAAAATCTATGCTAATTAAGATGGGGTATCCTAACCTCCTTCACGATAGTGATTTTCTTTGTTTAACTTGATGAATTATTAATGAGTTTGAGAATGTGTAATAAAGCACTGTACATTAGCGCAAGCAAAACTATCTTGAACGAATAAAAGACATTACTGACACTGGATATTCATACTACATGTACATGTACTCCCATTAAACTATATTAACTACATTAGCAGGGCTGTCATTAATTTTGAGTCACCTGTAGCCTCGTTCTCCACACCCGTAGCAAACTTATTACTTGGTGGTTGAATGCTATCAACAACAGGCAATTTCAACCGTAGCACCAAGGGAAAATCAAGCATACTTTTCATAACATTTGAGCGAAAAGCAAGTCCTCTGTTACCTTAATCCTTGTGTCAGTGGTCCAATCTGCCATATCACGTAAAGCAGCAGGTAAAATTTTGGAAAGGTTCCTTTGAACCAACACCCTGCATCCTAGACTGGGCCGCTCTATATCTACCAAACACAGAAGATAAAAAAAATGCCTGGCTGACAATGGCGAGAAAACAAAAATAATGTGTTCACAGTCAATGAATACCTGTTGGAAGTCTATAGCTGGGAAGTTCCTCAAAATTCATTTTGTCCTTTAATTCTTCTTCATTTTCTAATGCATATTTCTCACCAACCTGTGACAAAATGTAAAATGTGTTTAGTGCTTTACCTGGTGTTTTTGAAGGGATTGGCACAGATACATTTTCATTTCAGATGACACAATCATTTAGTCTGTAGACTGGCATATTACACCACTGTAAAAGAAAGTAGAACTTAAAAGTCTAGTAACTGAAATCATCAAAGCAGCATCGACATACAGTGTATGTTAATTATGCAGCAGTGCATGACAACATTTGAATTATTATAAATTTATACTGAGATTGAACTTTTATTAATGTTACTGTATAAATCATGTACCTTGCTCATAAGCTCTTTTGCCAGCCTCTGAATGTCAGGTAACTCATCAGAAAGGCCAGTCATCAACAATGGCAACAGTTTATGGAAATATGAATATCTATTAAATATAAGAAGGATACTTAGTCACATAACTATTAACTAAACAGTAGTTATTAGTAAGATTATTAAATAATTACACTATGAGGGCTATTTTTATACCCCTCTTTGCACTCTAGAGCTTCAACTTCTGCCTCCACCTCCACACTTACTCTGTTACATGACTTACCTATCTCGAAGATTTAACAGCCAATCACCTACAATGCCCGTCACAGCAGCTCTGACTGTAGGAGCACTGTCAAATGTTCTCTGAGCAAGGTGCGAGACCACATCATCCACATTTTTACCATTGCCACAATTAATCACAATTCCTAAGGTCTAAAAAGAACAAATTACAAAATCAACAGTAAGTGTGCACTGTTACAATGTAACAGTGTTCTCAGAGCATGGGTAAGATGGACCTGAGATAACAAAATAATATAGTTACTGTCTGTGGTGCTCTTACTACAGAATAAACGTATGATAAGGCCTGATGTTAACAAATTGTATAATTTTAACAGTTAAAAACAGATATATGTTTGCCTTGTAGTTAGACCATCTTCATCAATTTATAAGCTAAGGATTGATAATACAAGCATATAAAATAAGCAATAAAATCAAACGTTCGGCAATTTGTGAGTTGCAATGATGCCAATACTGAGTTCAAATTGGAAATGATTAATAAAAATAAACTTTAAAAAAAAGCTAAATAACAGTGTTGTACTTCATGTGCAAAGTGATACACTCCCCCATCATATACTCCCTGGTAAATTAGCTTGCAATGGGCAAAAGAGAACTGAGATGAAACATCAATGTTACCCTTACCTTTATACAGGACACTCTGACTTTTGAGTGTTGATGAGAGAGAGACTTCAGTAGAGGATTCACTAAAGAATTAGCTTGGAAGTAAAACTGGTCAGGAACTGCTGTAGCCAAAATGTTAGTGCAGCGACAGCTCTCCTGTAACAAGGCAAAGAGACAGTTATCCCTAACAGTATGTGGTAACAGTGAAGTCTGTATCAGGACAAAGAGACAATACTGCTAAATTATAACTTTAAGTCATCTTTTGTTTTTTCNCTGTCTATGGTGCTCTTACTACAGAATAACTGTATGATAAGGCCTGATGTTAACAAATTGTATAATTTTAACAGTTAAAAACAGATATATGTATGCCTTGAAGTTAGACCATCTTCATCAATTTATAAGCTAAGGATTAATAATACAAGCATATAAAATAAGCAATAAAATCAAATGTTCGGCAATTTGTGAGTTGCAGTGATGCCAATACTGAGTTCAAATTGGAAATGATTAATAAAAATAAACTTTAAAAAAAGGCTAAATAACAGTGTTGTACTTCATGTGCAAAGTGATACATTCCCCCATCATATACTCCCTGGTAAATTAGCTTGCAATGGGCAAAAGAGAACTGCGATGAAACATTTACCCTTACCTTTATACAGGACACTCTGACTTTTGAGTGTTGATGAGAGAGAGACTTCAGTAGAGGATTCACTAAAGAATTAGCTTGGAAGTAAAACTGGTCAGGAACTGCTGTAGCCAAAATGTTAGTGCAGCGACAGCTCTCCTGTAACAAGGCAAAGAGACAGTTATCCCTAACAGTATGTGGTAACAGTGAAGTCTGTATCAGGACAAAGAGACAATACTGCTAAATTATAACTTTAAGTCATCTTTTGTTTTTTCTTTGTTCATCTTTTTGTGCATATAAATTTAACCTCGTTGTAAGTTAAGTTTGATCTATTGGCTAAGTACTTTTTGAGATGCATGAGAGGGAAGAGGGGGTACAAAGAGCCCATACCCCACAGTCATGACTGAAAAAAAGGCCAAGGCTGAAAAGGGTTATGTGATGGCAAGTTACATATTAATTTTTCAGTCCCCCTTCCCTGGATCAACTTACACGTCAACTTATCAGTTAACAAGTCATAGAAATCTTGAGCTCATAATCTAATAATTATTAGTGAGGTTTCTTAAAATCAGTTCAATTTATTAATAACTGCTCTGACTCACCTTCCTAACATCATGAAATGGATCAACAAGTGTTCTCTGAAGAATTTTAATCATGTCATCTATATATACACCAACTTTTTCCCGACATATCTCGACAACAGAACACAGCATTTCAACTATATAGAGCCTCAGTTCCTCACAAGACTCCACAATTTCTGGCTGGCCTAATCTTTGGACCACGGTCGGAATTATGTAGGGTAGAAACTGTGACAAGTCTGTTACTTGCTTTGCAAATCTAAAATGACAGAAAAAAATCTGAAATTTAGAAACCAGAAACTCCTTGTCTTTAGACACTGGATCACCATAGACCTGATATTTCTTTTGAGGCTGTTGTAAGTGCTTGTCCTTGCTCAGCCTACCAATAGTTTTTGACAGGGTTCTCCAGTTTTCCATTTATCACAAAGCCAACATTTATAAATTCCAATTTGATTGGGAATCTGAGGGCCATTATGTGCTACCCTCATTAAGCAAATTAACCAATTGCAATGAATAGACCATGTATGGCAAAGTCTGCATATGAGCCAAGTGGCCCATCAGGCAGCCAGTGCTTATCTCTGGTTTCAATAGCATGAAGCAACTAGGAGTATTTCTTACCCCCTCCTAGTTAGGATGCTGATCCATCAAAGGGTTACCCCCAGCATTAAATTCGCTGGTACCCATTTGTACACCTGGGTAGAGAGAGGCACTGTGAGAGTAAAGTGTCTTGCCCAAGAACACAACACAATGTCCCCAGCTAGGGCTTGAACCCGGACCGCTCGATCTGGAGTCGAGCGCACTAACCATGAGGCCACTGCGCCTCCGTATTTTTTCTTAACGTAATCCTACATGTCAGGCCTGTTTTTGTATCGTTACAGTCGAACGATTTCTAAAACCAGCGTGCCATTCCGTGACCATAAGACTAGAAATTTTCAACTTACCTAGCGGAAGACACTGTTCCAGAACTCCTGGAGCTACGAGACGATGTTGGTCGTGACGCACCAGGGCCTGGGGAGGGTGGCATTGGTAGCCCGGCCTGGCTGAAGTAGATCTGAACACTGGGGCCAAGATCCGGGTGACTGTGTAACACTTCTCCCATCTGCTTCATTGTACGTGTGTTAAACTCTCGTAGCTCTCTTAAATCCATGTCTCTCTCTTCGTGGAGTTCTCCCGAACTTTTCTTGGCGCTTCTGACTGTGCGCGCTATTTTACTGGCCTCGCGGGCAGCTCTGTCTTTCTTTACCTTCTGATCGTCCAGTTCTTTCTGTAAATTTGTCGCTTTTGCTTGTTTATCTGTGATCACTTCCACTAAGGCTTGTTCGTCAGCTGTCAAGTTGTCCAGTGTGTTCTGCATGGAGCCCAGATCCTCCTGTAGCTCGCGGATTTGTCGCCGTTTGTATTTGTATTTGTCCATGACAGCGCGCATTTGATCCTCCAAGCGCTGCTTCTCGTCAAACTCTTCACTCATCTCATCCACCTTATTAAAGCTTTTCCTGTATGTCTCGTTACGACCGTTCATTAACCGAAGAGTGTTCTCCAACGCCCTAAAAATAATTAAGGAGGATCTCAGTATCAAGATATGAAAGTGAATTTCCATTCCTAATTGCCATGCACTTCTCTGACTAATGGTGTTTCATCAAAGGCAGTATTTGCTAGTTGATGAAATTCTTAATTCTCATCGCGTGTCTGCACGACAATGAACTGAATTCGTGAGGGAGAAATCAGATGTTTAGTTGACCTACACAAAATTCTCACCGGATCTCCTTCTCAGCCTTCCTGATCTTCGCGTCCAGTTCATCTCCTTCTCGCTGAAGTTCTTCCTTCTCTTGAGCTGCCTTGATGACGTAATAAGCTTGAGACCTCTCCTCCTCCCCCTCAGGAGGTGCCATGGATATCATCAGGATTTCATACCTGGTGTAATCAAACATGAATTATGTTACTGGCAAAAAAGATCACCGCTGTGTAACTCACATAANCTTGGTGGTTGAATGCTATCAACAACAGGCAATTTCAACCGTAGCACCAAGGGAAAATCAAGCATACTTTTCATAACATTTGAGCGAAAAGCAAGTCCTCTGTTACCTTAATCCTTGTGTCAGTGGTCCAATCTGCCATATCACGTAAAGCAGCAGGTAAAATTTTGGAAAGGTTCCTTTGAACCAACACCCTGCATCCTAGACTGGGCCGCTCTATATCTACCAAACACAGAAGATAAAAAAAATGCCTGGCTGACAATGGCGAGAAAACAAAAATAATGTGTTCACAGTCAATGAATACCTGTTGGAAGTCTATAGCTGGGAAGTTCCTCAAAATTCATTTTGTCCTTTAATTCTTCTTCATTTTCTAATGCATATTTCTCACCAACCTGTGACAAAATGTAAAATGTGTTTAGTGCTTTACCTAGTGTTTTTGAAGGGATTGGCACAGATACATTTTCATTTCAGATGACACAATCATTTAGTCTGTAGACTGGCATATTACACCACTGTAAAAGAAAGTAGAACTTAAAAGTCTAGTAACTGAAATCATCAAAGCAGCATCGACATACAGTGTATGTTAATTATGCAGCAGTGCATGACAACATTTGAATTATTATAAATTTATACTGAGATTGAACTTTTATTAATGTTACTGTATAAATCATGTACCTTGCTCATAAGCTCTTTTGCCAGCCTCTGAATGTCAGGTAACTCATCAGAAAGGCCAGTCATCAACAATGGCAACAGTTTATGGAAATATGAATATCTATTAAATATAAGAAGGATACTTAGTCACATAACTATTAACTAAACAGTAGTTATTAGTAAGATTATTAAATAATTACACTATGAGGGCTATTTTTATACCCCTCTTTGCACTCTAGAGCTTCAACTTCTGCCTCCACCTCCACACTTACTCTGTTACATGACTTACCTATCTCGAAGATTTAACAGCCAATCACCTACAATGCCCGTCACAGCAGCTCTGACTGTAGGAGCACTGTCAAATGTTCTCTGAGCAAGGTGCGAGACCACATCATCCACATTTTTACCATCGCCACAATTAATCACAATTCCTAAGGTCTAAAAAGACCAAATTACAAAATCAACAGTAAGTGTGCACTGTTATAATGTAACAGTGTTCTCAGAGCATGGGTAAGATGGACCTGAGATAACAAAATAATATAGTTCCTGTCTATGGTGCTCTTACTACAGAATAACTGTATGATAAGGCCTGATGTTAACAAATTGTATAATTTTAACAGTTAAAAACAGATATATGTATGCCTTGAAGTTAGACCATCTTCATCAATTTATAAGCTAAGGATTAATAATACAAGCATATAAAATAAGCAATAAAATCAAATGTTCGGCAATTTGTGAGTTGCAGTGATGCCAATACTGAGTTCAAATTGGAAATGATTAATAAAAATAAACTTTAAAAAAAGGCTAAATAACAGTGTTGTACTTCATGTGCAAAGTGATACATTCCCCCATCATATACTCCCTGGTAAATTAGCTTGCAATGGGCAAAAGAGAACTGCGATGAAACATTTACCCTTACCTTTATACAGGACACTCTGACTTTTGAGTGTTGATGAGAGAGAGACTTCAGTAGAGGATTCACTAAAGAATTAGCTTGGAAGTAAAACTGGTCAGGAACTGCTGTAGCCAAAATGTTAGTGCAGCGACAGCTCTCCTGTAACAAGGCAAAGAGACAGTTATCCCTAACAGTATGTGGTAACAGTGAAGTCTGTATCAGGACAAAGAGACAATACTGCTAAATTATAACTTTAAGTCATCTTTTGTTTTTTCTTTGTTCATCTTTTTGTGCATATAAATTTAACCTCGTTGTAAGTTAAGTTTGATCTATTGGCTAAGTACTTTTTGAGATGCATGAGAGGGAAGAGGGGGTACAAAGAGCCCATACCCCACAGTCATGACTGAAAAAAAGGCCAAGGCTGAAAAGGGTTATGTGATGGCAAGTTACATATTAATTTTTCAGTCCCCCTTCCCTGGATCAACTTACACGTCAACTTATCAGTTAACAAGTCATAGAAATCTTGAGCTCATAATCTAATAATTATTAGTGAGGTTTCTTAAAATCAGTTCAATTTATTAATAACTGCTCTGACTCACCTTCCTAACATCATGAAATGGATCAACAAGTGTTCTCTGAAGAATTTTAATCATGTCATCTATATATACACCAACTTTTTCCCGACATATCTCGACAACAGAACACAGCATTTCAACTATATAGAGCCTCAGTTCCTCACAAGACTCCACAATTTCTGGCTGGCCTAATCTTTGGACCACGGTCGGAATTATGTAGGGTAGAAACTGTGACAAGTCTGTTACTTGCTTTGCAAATCTAAAATGACAGAAAAAAATCTGAAATTTAGAAACCAGAAACTCCTTGTCTTTAGACACTGGATCACCATAGACCTGATATTTCTTTTGAGGCTGTTGTAAGTGCTTGTCCTTGCTCAGCCTACCAATAGTTTTTGACAGGGTTCTCCAGTTTTCCATTTATCACAAAGCCAACATTTATAAATTCCAATTTGATTGGGAATCTGAGGGCCATTATGTGCTACCCTCATTAAGCAAATTAACCAATTGCAATGAATAGACCATGTATGGCAAAGTCTGCATATGAGCCAAGTGGCCCATCAGGCAGCCAGTGCTTATCTCTGGTTTCAATAGCATGAAGCAACTAGGAGTATTTCTTACCCCCTCCTAGTTAGGATGCTGATCCATCAAAGGGTTACCCCCAGCATTAAATTCGCTGGTACCCATTTGTACACCTGGGTAGAGAGAGGCACTGTGAGAGTAAAGTGTCTTGCCCAAGAACACAACACAATGTCCCTGGCCAGGGCTCGAACTAGGACCACTCAATCCTGAGGCGAACACACTAACCATGACGCTACCTTGCCTCCACTAATAGACCATGTTGTACACATATATAGTTTGATATAAATTCAATATTATTATCACGACTAGTCAGTTACTCACTCAGAAACCACCTGCACAGCAAGTTCTCTACATTTTTCAGTTGAGTCTGAGAACAGTTTTAAAATGGGTTTTAAGATTTCTTCAAAAGCAACGTGCAGTACTGAAGCCGAGAACTTTGTTTTCTTAGAAAATAGTTCTTTTGAAATTTTCTCCAGAGCTCTCTTTCTTGTGCCTCTGTTGTCATCTGATAAACAGTTGATGTCTCTTTGAAGGCTCTACAGTGCATGGATGAGAGAAATCAAATAACAATATTACTTATAAGAGTCTTAATAATACAAGATATATAGCTGCAAATGTAGCAGGAACCTCTGTGCATATGCACAATCACAGGTCAGAAGTAACACTAATCCCAAACCAACAACATCTGCAGTAACCTCATATAAGTTAATCAATTAACTTGTAATGATTATTGACAAGTAGTCTATATTTGCTTCACTTTACTTTAGATCTATTTACAGTCGCACACAAGACGTTTTGTTATCAAATCTACAACAGCTGTCTGATGCACGTTGTCGTTGCCAAGGAGTGTGTTTTGTCACACAGTGTCACATACAGCAGACAGCTCATTGCTACATAGATAAAAGGCTACCCCTCGACCACTTTTCAGTCTACGAGGCTTCAAAGTTAAAAGGATAATACGTTACTTAATACTAACCTGCAATAGCGCTTCCAGAGTTTCTTTCTCCGTAGCACTCAAATCTGCCGCCATCTTGAAATTCTGGTGAATGATTCCGATCCCCACTAGGATGGGTTGGGGTTAGTGGGAAGGATTGAAATATTTAAATTGTATTTTCATAAACTCGCATTTTTTCCCTCACCAAGACGAAGGGATCCAATATTAAGTTTAAATTTATTCATTTTCGTGAACAGTACGAGATGAGCTATAAAAAAATAGCTTTCAAGCTTTCAAGCTCTAACTTAGTTTCTACAGGGGTAGGGTAGGTATGAAAAGGAACTGAGATTTTCCTCTCCAGGATGCTTTGCGCAGTTTACGCAGACACAAAACAAGATGGCTTCCAGAAAGATTGAAACAATCATTCCCTCGTCAAACTCTCCGATTCCGGAACCAAGAAGCGGCCATAGATGTGGATCTGACGATGGAAACATCTATGTGTTTGGTGGTTATTCTCCGCATTACGAAGATTACCTTTTTCGCGAATTGTGGCGTTTCAACATAGGTACAAAGACGTGGCAGTTGTTGGAGACCACTGGTCCATTTCCCAGTGAAGTCGCGTCTAGTTGTCTTGTACTAGACAAGGGCAATCTGATTGTTTTCGGTGGTTCTGGAGTGCCCTTTGGTATGTGTAATAGCAAAAAGCTTCACGTCTGTTCCCTGAGGAGACTGCAGTGGTTTGATTTGTCGGAAAGATACTCCAGCAAAGAGGAAAACGACGGAGAAGATGTCTCGCCGATCGCTGGTTATGGTCAAAGTATGGTTATTTCCCGTGACAAAGAACTGTACGTCTTTGGTGGAACAACAGGACTGGAGTTTAACTCGTATTTGTATCGTTACAGTCTTTTTAAGCAGACCTGGGATTATTTAAAAGGAGATAACCCTCCTGTACCGCGTTACAGACATGAATTGGTTTGCGACGAAGATCCCTTAAATGGTGAAAGGTTTTATGTGATCGGTGGAGGTATGAGTAGCAGAGACCCCGATGAGTTCTTTCAACTAGAGAAAATTCAATCTTTCAGTTTTGCCAGTGGACGGTGGAACGAGCATGTATGCCGTCCGTCTAAAGCTCATGGTTTTCCAAAACGTCGAAGATGCCATGGGTGTGTAATTTTTAATTCGATCGTGTACATATGTGGAGGTTATGATGGTGCTCATATGTTTGATGATATATGGAGCCTTGATCTGGCGACCTTTCAGTGGGAAAAACTTCCAAAGGTAATTGAAACTTGGATATTCATTGCACTTTCGTGTAATCAGTGCCATGAACTTTAGAGTTAGTTTTAAGCATCAAACACAAAAAGCAAGAAAAAAAAGAAAAAACATCATAAATGTATGTTTTCTGGCTAAATATTACCTTTGGTACAATTTCGTATTTTAGTTTGTTTTATATATATGATAATACATTACCATACAACAAAACAAAGGAAAATACCAAATGTGTACCAAGGGTAAAATAGACCATTTTACAGTTGTGAAGGTGACCTTGTTTTGATAAAGACTTCACTTCTTTTGTTGTGTAAATCAAGTTGTTCTTGTGCTAACTAGTTGACATTTAAATGAGAAAAGCATGGAGGCCTGTATCAAAGCAAGGTCACCTCAACCCTCACTTGCATTCATAGGCCAGGTAACTAAGCACACAATTGTAAAATTGTTGTTATAAGCCCAGCACGGATAGCCACATGTACAATCAAGTCTACCTATTTTAGATGAAACATGCTGAATAACTGTGCTGTTGTGTCTTTGTTGTAACTGCAGATTCTGCCATATCATGTGTATTTTCACTCAGCTACAGTGACTCCATCAGGCTGCATGTATGTTTTTGGTGGTGTGAAGGCCATCAATTCCAATGAAGACACAAGATCTAATGACATCTTCAAGCTGTGGTTGACATTGCCCTCACTTGCAGAGAGGTCTTGGGAAGTCATAACTAGTTGTCTACAAGGAAAGAGAGCTTTTCTTCCAGATCTGAAAAAACTTGGAATTCCACAGCATTTTTTGGATAGACTGAAGTGATGTACTATTTTATCAAGTTCACTTGCCCAGACTAAGGAGTGGCTTCACTATCTTTCTAAGTGGGAGGCGCGGTGGCCTCATGGTTAGTGTGCTTGTCTCCGGAGCGAACGGTCCGGGTTTGAGCCCTGGCCAGGGACATTGTGTTGTTTTCTTGGGCAAGACACTTAACTCTCATGGTGCCTCTCTCCACCCAGGTGTATAAATGGGTACCAGCGAATTTAATGCTGGGATTAACCCTGCGATGGACTAGTGTCCCACCCAGGGGGGAATAGAAATACTCCTAGTCACTTCATGCTACAGAAACCAGGATAATCCCCAGCCTTATGAACCACCTGGCTCGTATTCAGACTTTACCTTTTTTTACCTCACTATCTTTAATAATGTCCTTATTATTGTACCTTGAGAATTTTATTATTTTGCTCATGTGGTGTTAAAAGAAGAACTTTTTCAAACACCACTTGCATTCTCCCTTTATATCATGGAGTCAAAATTTAACAGTATATCATGATTGCAAATCTTTTTTCCAATATTTAGCATATCTTGAATCATAGTTGACTGAAGCCTCAATGGGGCAGGCTAGAATAATATTTTAAACTAAATAACTTTTAAAAAGTGGACTAAAAGATCAAAGAGGTAGCAATGAATAAGTGGCAAGGTAAAGGACTCTGGACCAGATTTGATTTCTGAGAAAGCTAAGGTGAAGTTAGCACATACTTAAACAAGTACTAAACAAAACTTAAACATTTGTCGGGGTACACGGACAGGTTAAAACCTGTCTGTGTTGTTACATTTCCTCAGCTGTTCTTACTTGGAATTATAATTCCTTTCTCACTTACATGCATTCTTAGATCTCTTTACCCTCCCTTACATCCTCTTTCCCATCTAATCCTTGCCTGCTCTCCCACGTTCTAACTTTTTTACCGTACATCGCCCAAATGTATGCTTTAGGAGTTGCTATAGTCCGACCTACTCATGTAATAAAGTGTTATGTATTTATGTGCCCCATCACATAATTTAAATCGCACTTGTGAGATGAATCAGGCTGTCAAGACAGTCAACTGTCCAGGGAAAAAGTACCACAAGATGGGACGTACAGTTTTCGTCTGAAATGCCAAGCAACTCATCATGGCATGGTGACTTGAAAAAACAAAGTTTTTGTGAATGCCCACCCTATTTTAGATTTAACCATGATTGGGAGGAAATAAATGGTTCACCTGCATTTTTTTTCCCTATGCACAAGTCTTGGAAATGCTAGCACTAAACTCATATAGAGCCCTTGGCGCTTTTCAAAATTTCTTCTGCTTTTATATAATACACTGTCACTGCAAGTTCAACTGGACATATAATGCATTTGTGCATAACGATGCCACAACTTACACTACAGCTGGGTGGTTTCAAGGGGGCTTCGTGGGGCTCGGATGAACCCCCAAATTTAAAAAAATGAGACATTATAACACGCTGGCTAAGCCTCAGAATGCCAGAAATCCCATTTCCGACGACCTCAATTGTAAAAATTTTACAGGGAAGGATACAGGGGACCGCCTTTGACGGTCCGTATCTCGAATCCCCTTCTCTAACCGAAATCCTGTATCCGCCCCAGCTACAGCCGTACTGCAAGAGTGCGGTACCGCTTTTCAACTTGCGATGCGACATTGTTTCACGTTGACATGTTGTAAGAATATAATTTACTATAATATCTCATATAATTTCGCCAAACAAAAAAAATAGAGAAAATGGTGTGACAGTGAAAAGGTAGTAAATATGGTTTAAATTTTTTCGCGGGGGCGTTTCCCGTCTGCAATTATGAGTTTCATATTTTATTTGCAGACGGTAAAACAATGTGGAAGCGGAAATCCAACTTTACCCTTGCTTAGTGTCAGCAAGAATATTTGAGCAATATTATATTCACCAATAACTCAAACCCAAAACACTAAGATCAAGAGTTAAAAAGCTAGGGAGAGTGGAACAAAAGTTTGAAAACACCTCCAGAATCTTTGTTTCTACGGCTTATCGTTTGTATCACGACAGGGTGAAGGGAGAATCCGCTATATACTTATTATTTTCAAGGTAATCAATCTCGAAATATCCGGATTTTCTGTTTGAATTTCAGTGTTTTTTTTTTTTTTTTTAGCAGACGGTTTTCAGTTTTTGGTGTAAAGATAAGAAGTTTTCCGGTTTTGACTATCCGCTTGCCTAGTTCCTAAGTCTCTTTATTTCACCACGGTCAATCCATACAAGTTCATGTAGTGATGACGCATTAGGCCATTTTCGATATATTAAAATTCTAACATGGCTCCGAGGCTTGGGGGAATCAAACAAAAGAAATTAATTACTCATCACTTAACCTCGATGTAATTCCTTTTGTTTTATTCCCCCAAGCCTCAGAGCCGAGTTAGAATTTTAATATATCGAAAATGGTCGAGAGACCACTAGTTGACACTTGATGCTACAAGCTAGTCCTGCTTTGCGACAAAATTTGGTCCAGATGCGTTCTATAAAAAATAGTTGATCTGGAGATCAGAACCATCTTCTGTTTACTGCTCTTAGACGTAGTGAAAGTTAGTTTACATATATGCTCAAATGAGTTTTTTTTGCCTGAAGCATTTGAGACATTTAATATTTGCCATTCTTTCGAAAAATCTGGAAGTCGAGGAGTTACTAGTTATGAAGAAGATTACATTGTGGGCGGCCAAGGCCCACTTGACCCACTCGAAATCGAAGGGTGGATAACACCAGACACGGATAAACGAATATCTAGCGGATAAGCCGTTGAGAAACTGAAACAAACTCGCCTATAGACTGGATAGGCTCTCGATACTAGCCTATATAACAGGCACTCCCTTACTTGTAGATTTTTCCGCATTCTGGCCGCGCGCAAATAGGAGAGCCAAAAAATATACCATCCCTTGCTTCGTCGATTTTTTGTTTGCTCTCCGGCTACGGAAAAAGCTCAGAGTACGGGACCGTTTGCTACTCGGGCTAACTGGATCTGATTTAATCAGTGGATACCTTTAAACTGGGATGTGATGTTTAATTCAATTTGGAATATAGGACCAGGTCTTAATGGAAACCCAAACTTGCATGGAAAAGCCTTTGAACGAGAAATTGAAACAACTCATCAGTTTAGTTTGGAGCCGGAGTAAACATTTCCCCTTAACCATGCTAACACCCAAGGTATCTAAGTTCGGAGCTGTAGAAATTTATAACGTGGACCACAGAAATAAGTTTAGTCGATGACCATATTCATTTAATGCATGGTCCGTCTTTTTTAGACTCTTTTTAATTTGAGCCGCGAGAGTCGCGTAACGGCCTGATAACGAGACGGGAGAACACGAGAGGGGAACAAGAAATCACTGAGGAGAAAGAATCCGTCCGCCTCCGAGACCATAGTCTCCTTCGCAGCCGTTATTAGGGTCGTTACGCTATGCTTCTCCCCTAGACTGTTCACAGCCCTCTATTTTCTCGTATTTTTATTCGATCGTTGAACGCGCGGATAAAATCGCGAGAGAACTGGACGCCAGCGCAAAACGGGAGACTTAATAGGGTAGCGGGTGCGCTCGCTTTTTCTTTCGTGTGCGTTGAAAAATAGAAAGGCTGTGAACAGTCTACTTCTCCCCCACTAACGGCAACCTCGTCCCCAGGGCCTTCTGAAAATCGTCGAGGAGAAGGCCCTGGGGAGGAGGTTGCTACCAACGGTCGTTATTGCGTTGCGTGACGACCCCTGTGAAGGAGACTACCGAGACTAGGATCATGTTGATTTCTTGAGCTCCAATCTCACATGCACCCTCTCACGGTATCCGTGAGGACTCGGTTGGGCGAAACGGTCGCAGTATGTAATCCGCAGTTTGTCACAAAATTATAACACAATGATAGCCAGCTTACCAAAAAGACAGAATATTTACATTACATTTGGACTTAAGCATTACAGGATTTAAAGCATCGATATAATAATAACCTTTTCTATAAAGCTATGGCTGCCTTGTTACATTGCTTCGCGACCTTTGCTTTCTAAAGCTGGGATGATTAAAATATACAGAATTGAATATTGGAGGACTTCACGTGTTTACTTTTGCCCGAGAAGTCTCCCGGCACGAATGCTTTAACATGATCTATCCATGTTCTTATTAGCCGCTGTTTATTATGGTCCCTCGTTCCGGGGCATGGGTTACTAAGACCACAAGGCCTGATGGTTAGGCGGTGAGACGCGAGGTTTTTAAGGTTGACGCAGGTCTCCACACGGAGCCGAAAACAGTGTAGAAATCGAGCCGAGCATATATACCTTATATGATGCGGAGTGTATATCAGAATGATAAAACTGTATTATTGAAGTTAAGATGCCAGCCACTTGGGTGTTGAAAAAAGAAATCAATGAAAATCGATTAGTGGTCACTTTTGCATGGACCTCTGAAATTTCTTAACCGAGTTACTATGCTAAAGTTAAAATGTTCTCGTTAGGTTTTCAAGCCATGATAATCAATCTTATTTGTTATCAGATGCACTGCATAGTCTCATAGAGTTCCGACGTAGCATGAAGTAATCTGGCTTTCTTGCCCAGGCGTTTGTAATTGGCTCATGTCCATCAACCACGAGATCCCGGATGCAGCCCATGAAGTTGGGCAGGAGGTCCTCGCTAGTTGGTGCTCCCAAGAAATAAGCCTTTGAGGTCGGTATATCCAGACGGTTGAAGCTTCCTGGAGTTTGCCCAACCGCTAATCAGGGACAAAGGAATGACAAATGCTGATTAGTCACCGGAAGCAGCCTTTCTGTTTTTCAGAAATATTAAAGTCAATAATACAAAAATACACCAATTTCTTGCATTTACTGTACTTCTTTAGGTTTCAGGTGACCTCTTCGACTGTAACTGGGTGTGCTCTTGCTTAGGAGCAGTTTATTCCTCTAATCTAGGTCATAGGGGTCGCGACCCGCGGCAAAGAAAAGAAAACAAGACCTCTGGGAAAAATGGGGAGGTGAGTCAAGCTACTCTCTCTACACATGTTCAGAACGCGTGCGCACAATCAAAACGGAACCAGGATTTTCTGGTTCCGGTTTGCGAATTCCAGAACGTCAAGCGTTCGGTCACTGCTGATCAAAAGCGCTTGTACTCCGGCAAAGAAATTGGCTATACGCTTTACGTGAAGACAGAGGAAGAGGCTATAGAGCGTTTTCATGCACGTGGCCAGCAACCATGTAAATTTATTGGAACAAAAGAAAGTGTTTTAATAAGAACAGAGTTCAACTCCCACAGGATTGGATTAAGACACCAACATGGCTGTCGGCCTCCCGTGACGTCATATGAATGCCTCCTTCATCAAAACAACATGGTGTCGAGACACTACATGGTGCGAAAAGTATATTTATATATGAGAGTGTAACTTACCAAAACCAAGGCCATCGTCGATTGTGACGTTCAGAGCTCGGTTATCGCGTTTCAAGTGCACTTTGTGCCAATTATTGTCATTCAATCTCAGGTTTGTTGTTTGCATCTTTGACTCTCCTAAAAAGTAAAAATCCACAAAATTGACAGCATTGCTGATTACAGAGAGCGCGATGGCAAATAAGAGAAGAATAAAAAGAAAGAACGAACAAATTAAGTGAGAGTTTTAATGTTGCGACACAAGTTGCGGGGATGTGAAGTGGGTACAAGCCCGCTCGCCCGTGCACTGCATAAGACGCATGTTGCTGGAACAGTGCACAAGAGCAGTGCGCACGATTCGACATTGGAAATTGAAGGCATTTTGTCGCTGCTTCATGACGCACGAATTCAAACCAGGCGAGTTTCATGAAAAATGTTGCGTGGACAAAACTTTCTCCCTGCAAAAGAACGTTTTTCTGAAAAACGGGGATGTCACACGAGGAAAACTGTCGCTGCAACATGTGCCCGCTGCATGTCCTCGCAACACGTCCCTTAGTGTGTGCCGACCTTTAACGATCTCGGAAACATTAAAGCCCTAACTATTTTAAGGTAGGATATTTGTATTTCAGTACAAAGAGCAACTTGAAACTATTCAGAAACCAGTTGAGTTATAGATTGTTGATGTGTAGCTTTTACCCTGAAGGAACTCTGACAGAAATTGAAGTATATATTGGCTGAACCATGCGAGAGGGTACTTCTTTTATAATGACTCGTTCTGACATTAACAATCGTCGAAGTGAGCAAGAGCAAACAGAGCGTTCTCCAATGTTATTTTCAAATTATTTGCAACAGAAAGTAAACTGTTTCATTTGCACCTGCTTTAAAGATAGCAGAAGGCTGAGACATTTTTCATCAGTAATGATGTTTACCAATAGATTATATTTTCGTTTACCTGTGCCTAGATCGATGTGGTACATAAAAACTCTTCTGTCATTGTAACCCACGTAAATGTAATCCCTGTAGAGTCCTTTAGCGTACATAAACATTCCACTGGACTGGGTAGTTTTGAATTCAAAGCGGATGTCATCCTGTCTCTGGTCGTTTCTAGTTTTGTAGTTATCTATAGTGACGTAGCTCAAGCCACTGGTGCAGACACATCGACCTGCAAAATGACGGAAAAGCAGCAAATTTTTTGATATGCATTAGTGGCCACTTAGAAAAGAACTGATCTAAATTTTCTCGTTATGGAAAAAAAAGTCAAGAACACTAGCACTGGATTCGTAACACTAACATAGTGCGAGACTCAGAGAAACCAGTCAGTAAGTTCAGTATCCGAAAGTAAGACTTAATGATTAGAGTACTATTCAATTGAACGGTTACGAAAGTAATCAGGCAATTACTTTGGTTTTGGTTTTGGTTTTGGTTTTAGTTTTGCTACGGCTTGAGACTGGCTGAGTTCTAATTAGTAAGTAATTGGTTTGGTTTTGGTTTTACAACACTCAGTTGAAAAACAGCTCTATACGCAAGTCCATAAACCCTTGATTCAGTTGATATGATTTAATCTGATCAAACTTTGGAGTATCCATTCCGGGAACAGCCCTCGCAATAAGCTTCCTCGCTTGCGCTTTGGTAACCGTTAGATTCCGTACCCTTGGGAAAATACTCCTCAGCAATATGGCTTTCACTGAATACTGCTTTAAATTTTCCTTACGTACCTTGTTCAAGGCGAGTTATATTATACTTCAGCTGGAATCCTGCAGCAGGAATATCATCATCTGAACTAAAATCAATCTGCACTTTCTTTCCTTTAAATTCCATTGGAGGTGGAAGTTGGCTGGCACTTCCTCCACACTGTGTTCTGCTGTCAAGCTCGTCACTCAGCAACAACTTGTCAAACGCGCACTCTGCGGAGTCTTCAGAGCAAAAGAAACCATTTTCACTCATCTCTGATGTGTATTCTAATTCACTTTGGCAACCAAAAACACGTTTTATAGCTTATGTGAATTAGCCTAGAGAAGAAATGTTTAATGAATTTGAAACTAAAAGAACAGATTGCCTCTTTTTCCACGGGCCCTGTTTTATTTGTTTGGCACAGGGCAGAAATCTAGAATAGACTGTTTTCGATATAATAAAATTCAACTTGGCAGTGAGGCCTAGAGGACACAAACAAATGGAACTGAATGACAAGTTTATTCATTTTTTTTGTTTCTGTCCTCTAGGCCTCACTATCAAGCTGAATTGTATTATATCGAAAGCGACCTACTGGACTGACGTAAGGAGGCCTACAACTGGGACGAGGCAGAAGGAAGTAGTGGAAAGTACATTTCCCAAAATGCATAAAAGAATAATTTCGTTGATTGGCATGTGAAGTTAGCATTTTTGCCACTGTATTGTGTATATTGATGTAATGGGGACTACGACCTGCTGATTTAGAAGCAGTTTCTATGTTTTTACAAATTTAAATATGGAGGGTAGAAACCTAATTTCAAAGCTGTTATTAGTTGAAGTCGTTCACAGCTATGTTATCTTAACTTGTCTGTGTAACTTTGTCCTTATCGTCCTTACATTGCAAAGAGAACTTCTCGAACCAGACCACAGTCTTGTAGTTGTCAGGCACGTCCAAAGTGACTGCGCACCTTACATCGTTGGGATAAAAGTTTGGAGACTTTGGCGAGAACAAGGCTCCCTTCATTGTCTCTGGTGCGTCAGGTCTAACCTTCTTTTCTCTCGTAGGACAGATGCTAGTGCCGGGCGGTTCTGAAAAACATACACTAGATGTAAAATGAAAGCATGCACGTAACATCAGATACAGATCAGCTTTTCGAACTGTCGGAGAGGGATGCTATGAATATTGCTCAAAGGGACAGGAAATTCTCCTGGTTCGGAGCACTCTCTTAACTGGAGAGCGACGAAATCCTTGAGTGCTTACCATTTAGCAAAAAAATCCGGAAATTTTGGTTGAAAGTCAAATGGAAGAGTAATTTCCCGGAAAATCCGTTTGGAAATTGTAGACTACCTCCAGAGGTAGTCCTCTTTCTCCGTTCGGAACGTAACGGCGGAAATTTCATTACCATTTGGTAAATTTTCCAGTTTCCAGTCTCTCATCAGCCGAAAACAATTACGAGAAATCGAATTGCAAATGGTAGGCGCCATCTCGTTAGGTTGGTTTGCTGATTTTGGAAAAACCCTTACCATTATACAATGGTCATCCCAACCGGTATATTCTGACAAATGGTAAGCACCTTTTATCTCCCCTAAAACATTTCTTGATTAAGGTAGGAAACGGCTGGGGTTAAATATTTCCAGCTGCGTGGCCCAGCCACTTCAGGGGCGGATCCAGGATTTTTCTTAGGAATGGTGCACCCCTTAGGAATGGCGTAACTGACTGGTGAGGTAAACAAATTTTAAAAGCGAATATGACGATGAAGGCTTCATTTTAGGGGGGGGATGCGCACCCCGTGCACCCTCCCCCTAGATCTGCCCCTACACTTACAGTTAAAATCATGTATTACAATAATGGGTGACTGTGGTGAGATTGATGCGCACTCACCGAAGTTTAATGATAAATAAATCAAAAAAAAACTTCCAGGATTTCTTTCAACTGTTTCATTAGTATTTAGTACTTCCAAGGATAATATAATAGAAAGTGACAAGTTGTCTGGAGTAGTAACTATAGTACCTTGGCTGTCAATTGACGAATGTCGTTTACGGTAGGGCGTAGGCGGACTAATTGTGACAGTGTCTAAGATTTACTGATTTGTCGCAAATGAGTGAAACGCTTTGGTTTCAGTTCCTTAATTTTGGACCGATTGATTAAAATCGTTACAAACTTCTGAACGACAGCCAGGAATTTGGTTCTGTCAAGGCCTTTGCGCTTTTGCCACATCTGATTTTATGGTAACTTCCATAATTCTATGTGAAAACGATTCTTAAAAAGTTTTAACTTCTTTAATTTACTGTTGGTTACACATGCATATGATTGTACCGTTGTAACTGTTATTCAAACAGGATAAATGTCACTTACTCCCTGAAGGTTCAACATTGAAGGTGCTAAATGAAATGTTGAAACCGTTTAACTCAAGGCTGCTGTCTGATTTAAACGCAATGGAAATCTTGCTCCCTGAAGAGGTGTAGTCGGGTGGAGTTCCTCTTCCACAGTATGAAAACGTTCTTGAGCCATCGACAATCTTCAAAACATCAAACTCACACAAGTCTGGGTCTGCAAAATAAAGAAACACACTTTTGGGCTAAAATCTCGGAAGAGTAACACGCAAACAGTGAAATTTAAGAACATTATAGAGCAGGTTTGGCGCCTAAAACAATAATTTGCAGATGATGTTTAAGTCTTAGAGCAGTTTTCACTTGGGTATCGAAAAGTAATTGGTTTTGCATTACTATGCTACACGATTGGCTTAAAAACTCGCGCCAATTTTTCATCTAATCAGAAGTGCAACAAAAACTAGTCATCACTCGCTCGCACTCGTTTTCCCGCGCTTTGCGTCAGCTATATGTAATTACTTCGAGTTTTGATTGGTTCACTGTATTGTCTGTGTCCTTTGTGATTGGCCAGAGTAGTTACTTTGGTTTTGGTTTTACGACTCTCAATTGAAAACCGCTCTAAAACACATTGAACTAATGCTAAACCTTAGATCTAACGAAAACAGATTGTTACGCTCTATTGTCGAAGTAGAGCAACAAGGCATTGTATATGTTTACGAAATTCTACTCGTCCAAAAATAAATTCCTGATAACTTACTATCTTCATCTTCTTCAACTTCGAAAAATGCAAATTTGATTTTGAATCTGACATTGAGTCCTCCATCTATGGCCAGCGTGCAATCAGAATCCGAAGGGTATCCCCTTGGGTAGTTAGGTGACGTCACTTCCCCTTCTGTGGCTCGGATCTCGCGAGAAGGACATATGGATATCCCTGGAAACAATAATTATGCAGGGTGTTATAATTATCATAGAGTTTGGTAATAGTTTGTAATTGTTACCGGAATTTTTAGTCTTATTTTATCATAATTATCATAGAGTCACAGAGTTTGGTAATAATTTGGAATAATTAAAGGAATGTTTATTAGTATTTTGTTATAATTTTCGGTAATAGTTTATAATTGTCATCGTTTGCAATAATTTTCATAAAATCTGTAATAATTATCATCTGAGGTGCATGTAGTCTATGTATGCATACACTTATTACTGGCAAAAAGTGTCAAGACTTCTTAAAACCTCTTGAAGAAACTGGTACTCCAAATCATTGTGTTGAATTCGACATTTTCAACATCCTCATGACCACAGACAACTGACGAACAACCAATTTAATTGTTTCGAGAGAAATTATCCTTCAGGAGCGAAAAAGTGTACACGACAATACCTACAGGCATTATGGGTAATGGTAGTTCAATATTGCTTCATTGAAGTTCACGATGTTTAAGACGAATTCCGCTCAAAGCTCGAGCACTAAGTGCAAAAATTATTCACTAAAAATCTACTCACAGCAGGTTACATTTTTTAACACTATTTAAAACATCTCATTGTAATTCATTTCTCTAGGTGACCCCACGATTAAATCCCAAAGCATTCTCGAGAAATTTCAGGTCAAACATCGTAAGATTAATGCGTTTTTTATTGTGCTTTCAACTAACGTGAAACGTTCGTTTTAATTGAAAAATGGATAACTTCAAGTTCAATTTTCTCTCGCGGGGTCAGCTTGAGAGCTTATGTCTTGATACGATCTTCTTGATTTTAATCAAAATACTACCATGCTATGCGGGTTTTTTTGGTAACTTCGTTTTTGCCATTATTGCTCGAATGTTCTGCGGAAATCATCTTAATCATGAAGGAAAGAGTAATAACGAATCCAAATATTCATAACATTTTCTTCTATGCTCTGAAGCATTGTGAACCTCTATCAAACAGTAGTAAACTATTAACACTACCTATAACAACTTTCAGCAATGTTACGCTTATGTAGGACAACCTTTCTCGAAACATCTAGGAATTGCCTATCAGCATCCCAAGAGTCTGGTAAGCGTTTGTCGATGTAAACGCCCGGTGAAGTGACTGGAGGCATTATAATTACTGGTCATTTCTGAAAGGTTAGCTTATGTCCAATTATGCGACAACAACAACAACAACAACTTTATTTGTACTCAACATAGAAATTAGAGTTAGAAGAACAAAAATCAGTTAAAATAAAAAGAGTATACATGGCTACCCGAAATAACCTTGATGGGTTAATAAGACTGGGCAGCCATCTTTAGTGATTTAAAGTGATTATGCAGTATTTTATCTGCCACAACTATTTTTCAATATCCATTTAGAATTCTTGACGGAGATAGAATTTATCACAATAGAAGTAAAGAATCGTGCCTAAGGACAACAACAACAACTCCGGCCAAGAATATGCTTAGTTCTTCAGCGCACAAACCATTATGTCGAGTGCAGCCACCACTCCACGCCTCATGTAAACGACTTTGAAATATAAGCGCGACAGCTTGCTGTATTTATAGCTTGGAATACGCACGTTTTCAACGAGGTTACAAGGCTGTTAATCTTAAAGTCTCCAGATGAAACTTTATCCAGTGAGATTGAAATATCATTTCACAAGAAGTATTTTGTAAATGATAGTTTAAACTCAGCGTGTGGTGTGGGATTGAGTCGCTAGCAATTTTTCAATCAGCTGTTGGCATCCAACATCATGAAGTGATGTCTGATAAACAAAATCCTTGTCGATTCTATATTTTCACTTGATTGCACTCCACACGCACATTAGAACATTACAGAAATAGAGATAAATCTACCCTGAAAGGAAAAACCTGGATGTGTACGTCCAGTCTTTGAAAATCTACACCTATTTTAGATTATCTAAATCACACTTTTTGAATGAGTTTTGCAACTTAGAAGAATGGACGTGCCTGCCTTGGCTTAGGCTTTGACCAATATTGGTGAAAATATTTTTGCGGTGAACCTTGCCCAGTAAATTCGTACTGAATTACGCTTGCCCCTGATAACGTAACATACTGTTTGAATTTTTTCTTTCGAGTTGCAGTATCATTGGTTAATTCAGTGAGGCTAGGTCATAATAATCGTTGTTGTAATTCTATGGCTATCCTTTTTTTTTCTATCATGTAACCCCGGTATAGTAATAAAAGACATCTTATGTAAGAAAGCAAAGTTTTGTACTAACGAAGTAAGCTCGTGATCAAATCGGAGTCGCGTACTGAGGTCTGTGCTTTGATTTTAGTTTAAAGCCGGGCACTACACCAGTCTATAACGGTGAGATCTCGATAAAAAAAAGAAAGACAACTCAAAGGAAGTGTTCTGTTCACGAACCCAAAATAAAAATGGCAGTACAATTTAATCTCTCCTGAAGGGTTACCCAAGTACCGACAGAATTACCTAGGTGATGAAAAATGGAGTTGCAGTTGGGCTAAGTGTCTCCGGAAATGATGTGCGCCCGCTTGCAAAGCGTTGAATTAATCTAATTTTTCGTGACGTTCGGCCATATTTTTCAGGTGAACAACAGTTTTGTTAGAAAACGATTCTGTAATTGTATTTCTCCTTCTAGACAACTTGCAGTGATAGCAGGAGTAAAAACTGTTTTAGAATTTAAATTTACAGGAAATTTTTTTACAATTTTTCCAGCCGCCGCTGAAACTATTTTGATCGGTAAAGAAATGTCCTCTACTTGTTGGAGCTATAAAGTTAAACCACTTGTCTGTCTATTAGAACTGAATTGCTAAGTACCTCTACATAGTGGAGAATTTGGGAAGTTTGTTCGTATTAAATTCAGTTCGTTTAAGTATATGACGGACAAAACTTACATTCAGTTCGTTGAAGTACTGACGGCGTTCTTCAAAAAACGTTACCGAGATAAATCAATTATTCTAATTTTCTACTCACCTTCGCTTCGTTGCACCAAAACAAGTAAAAGGCAGAGAAGTTTCCAACTCTCCATGGTTTTTCGTCTAAAAGTTAAAACAAAGGAAACTCAAATTTCACCGAGTCCAACGGAGAAACACCAAAGTCTGCAGGATAGAGTTGCACACTCTACAAGTTCCTGATACTTGTGGGCACTGAAGTGGCTAATATGTCTACTAGTTGATTTAATTACACTAAATCGGGGCGTTACCATCCTTAAATTGGAAAATTCTAGCTTCTAACCAATATTGGCTTTCAAGGATCGTGTTAAATTTCTGTGATTGGTGTATTTGGTGTTATCGGAAGGCCAAAACAATACATTTTAGCTTGTGCTAGAAGCTCATTATTAGCAACACGATATTGCCGAGACTGATGGAAAATTCGAACGCTATTTTCTTATAATGCCGGTGTGGCAATTTCGAACATTTGATCTTTCGTAACAGAGCAGATTTCACGTGAGTGTCGATCATAATTCACTTTTACGTTGGTCTTGCATTCTACGCTTGGAGATTGGATTAATAAACTCGCGCCACTTTTCGCCCAATCAGAAGTTAAACCAAAACCAATCGTGCTTGCTCACACAAGTTTGTACCCGCGCTTGGCGTCAGCTGCACCTATTGTCAATGTCCCTTTTGACTGGCCAAAGTGAATTAATACTCTGGTTTTGGTTTGCGACACTCAAATGAAAACAGCTCTATGAGGATTCAAGAAATTTTTATCACCGTATATCAGTAGTCAAAAATTTTGCGTGATATTAAATTTGTTGTTTTTCTTTTTAACCACCGTGATATTGACCCTGATTTCCTGAACAACTAATAGCTACACTAATTAAGTTGTCTGAACCGTTCAAAAAGATTTGATTTCGTTAAAAATTTCTCATGTACATGCACTCTCTTGACCCCAAATTGAAACCAGCTTATGCTCCTTTGATCCAAAATACAATTACATGACGATTTTTCCACTCCGTCACCTGCACAGTACAGCATAATGTTTACATGTTGTAAAGAGAAACTGGTCGTCATCGTGTTCGAGTGAGTTAAATTATAAATTATAAAGATAAAATATTGAAATTATGACTGCGTTAAAACTGGTCCTGACAGCTCTAGCCCGTTGTATAAAAATTTGGAAAAAAGAAACCCACATGTATTCTGTGTGGAAAGTTATGCTCTTGTTTTCCAAAACACAAAAAAGGACAAAAATAGTATTATTGACGTATTTGGAGTGGCCGTTCTCGTCGTTGACAGACGTAAATACTAATCTAAAATAAGACGACAGAAAAGGCTGATGTATCCAGTGTACGGGCCTTGTTAAGTGCATCAGAGACTACATATCCTATAGCCAGCCATGCTTATTGATTGAAGCCAGCTACGCTTTAGTTGAAATGACTTTTGAAAACCAACCGATTTTTTTACTTTTTTATTCTTTTATTTCTGAAAAACTTTGAAAAGAGCTATTAAGGGATAATGTTTGGTTCAACCCTACTATATTAACGACATTCTCTGACGATAACAATGTAATATTATAATTGTGGCATAATTTATTTCTACGTTATATTTAAAGTTCATTTATATGGCTGCTTTAGAATGTTACTTTTTTAGCCATATATTGTTGCCAAAATTATTAACAGTTATTGGACGAGATTGAGCAAAATATCGCGACTTGTAAGTGGAGAGTAGATCAAATATTTGCCGAAGCCGTAGGCTGAGGCAAATAACTAATCTGCGCGACACTGACAAATAACGACATTTTGCGATAACCGAGTTCAATAATTCTCATTCGATCACCAATTTGTTCTCTTATTTAAATCACTCTCTGACACTTCAGGGGAGCAATTTGCCATTTTTCACCAGAGATCATGTTTACAATTACGTATGAGCAGAATATTATTTGCAGCCAAACACATTACGCATGAGCAGATCGTTATTTGTAGGTAGTTATTTGCAGGTCATGTGGTTGGCTCTCGGCCAATGGAAAGGGAAAACATGCATCGAATGATATTTTTATTTAATTGGTCGCTGCGTTGTCCAAAGGGTCATGTTACTGCTACATAGAATTATCATTTTAATAAAACTTAACAATCAGTTATGAAAAAGAAATATCAATATCCCTTCCTAATGGTTTCTTTCACATAGCGAGTGCTGCTCTCTTCTGACAGATTGGGTGTCCTGTGGTCTAGGAAAGTGCCTGTTTTTACATGCGTAAAATAGCTAACAGTGCCCCTTTAATTTTTGCCAAATATGGTACGGACATCATAGAACAAATATGCTGTTATTTTTAACAGTGTATGTTCAACGAAGATTATCTAAATGTTTTTTTTTTTGTTTGTTTGTTTTTGGTTTTATTTTTCAGATGATATGAACACAGCCTGATTCAAGATTTAACACTGAAGCAAACCGTCCAAAATAGTTTTTATAACTTTAAAAGGTTATAATGACTTGCTGTATCAGTTTTTCTTGTATATCCTAGTTGATTTAAGAACATTGCAATATTAGTGAAAGCTCTAATTTATCACAATGCCAAGCTATAGTAGCTATTTGAGCTTTTGTAATCAGCAGGTTGTGGATTTGGGGATTACAAAAAGGGCGTCTCCAAAGCATTGTTAATCATTTTGCTAGAGTGTACCAAAATTGCTATTCAAAGAACTCGACTAAATTGAACAACACATAGTTCCGAGCACACTATGCATGATAAACACGAAATACGACAAGGTGCTTCCCGATTTAGAAAGCAATTGAATCTTGCAAATTCCTTAGATTGCCAAAATTCAGTACTAGGAGTTTCCTCACTTGCATGCCTTCACGATCAGCATCGATTTTTTTCAAGTAACCATCTATACAACGACACAAACTGTTTGGTTCAGGCAATTCAAAGGAAATACAAGAGGCGTAGTGTTGTACTATTGTCACTGAGTCAAGAAAGAAAAATAATTCATATCAGTTGACAGACAGCAAGATTTAAATTCTAAAATGTACTGTACAAATTCAGTCCGTTTATCTCACTAGCCTTATCGTCCCCTACCATGTACAGTGCAGTGAGTTCGTGGCAAACTATGCGACTGGCTCCTAATAGTCTGATTTACGTAATAGCATTTCCTGTCCTTCTATTCACACACAGCAGGTGTAACGCCAAAAATTGCGCCATTTTAAATATCGGCGGAAGAGGGAACATTTAGTTTATCACAAGAGATTCCGAGCTTTTAATGCCATCATGGGGTGCAATGGAAATACATTGCATAGCTTACGAGCACCTAATTAGTAAGTATTTCTCGAGAAGAAAAATTCAAAGTTTAGCAGCACCCAAATGATTGCGGAAAATAAGCAATACACTGAGTTAAATCTATGAATTTACCTCCACTAACTGACCGAAACGAGTCCAAACTATGCAGTACTGCTAAGATTACAAACTAGTCAAACTACAAAAAAGAGAAGCCGTAACTCGCTGTGATTTGTGACAGAATTTAAAATTATATCTCTAATATACTTGTCCTTTTGGTATTTTGTATTCTACAGTCAGAAAACCGTTGAGGCAACATGTTCTTAGGGTGCTGCTAACGTATTGATGACTGTTATATTTAAAGGAATCAGTAATGAGATAGTAATGTTCCGTAAAATGGACTTAGGGTGCTCAAGGTGCGATGCAGACTGACGAAAATTGTTTAGTTAGACGGCTTTGTTTCCAAGTATGCTGTTGTAGTATTTGATTAGCAAGAAAGTAACCTTTATTTTATAAAAGTAGCTCTTTAGTTTTACATTAAAATTGTTATCAACGAAGACCCTTCTTTTATGTCATTCAGTACGTCTATGACGGTCTCCTGTACTCGGCGTTTAAGTTCAGCACTTTTAATTCTACGTTTGAAGTAGTTACTCTCATAACTACGCATCGCAATTTTTCCTATTGCTCGTAGTAAGAATTTGGTTGTACACCAGGATAGTAATACTTAGTTATGATTTAGTTGTCTGCTACGTGCTTGGCAAAATATCAAAGAAGCAGAGTGATAAGAGGAAGTGTATAATATTAAGCTTGTAACATGTACAAATACCGTGTTCCTAGCTCCATCTTGTTATAATCTACATCAGAAAGTACAAACCAATCGGTTAATATAAATAAATTAGTAGACAGATAAATACGTGAAATTACTGACCTGATAATGGAAACAAGTCAAAATCCCGGATGTCAACAGGAGCAGAAGTTTCCTTCTAGGAGAAACCGCAAAAAAATATAAACCTGTTAAACAAACAGTTTGGTCTTTTTCGGATAAATGACTGAATGATCCCGACTGCGAGCCTGTTGATAATTTTATGCCGAGTCTCCTGTCTCTTTATAGACAGCGTCCCGCAGATAACCGGAAATATCGAATGTTATTCAGTTAAAAAGTAAAGGTAACAAGAAAACATGATTTTATTGATCACGTGACTGGTAAAACCGGTTGACTTTATACTTGAAAAAGAACGATGAAATTTATTTTGGCCGCGCTGATTTTACATAAAGATATATATAAAGGTGTTTGTATTTTTTCGGGGATTTCACTCATTCGGAACCTAATTTGTAGTCCGAAAGAGTATAACAACGCATCTTTCGCAAGTGTAACCCAGTATATTAGAATTGATTACTTGAGGCCAAAAACAATGTAGAATTGAAGACACAGTATCGAACAATTGAACTACTATCAGGACATACAGAGATCAACATCGATCACAGGTACATATGAGTGTAATCTATGATATCTGTACCGATTGTCTGCCAGTGGTGTATTGACGGAGAAAACGGCTGCCTGTCTCAGTTACAAGGTCTTCATGAATAAACAACAAACCAGCAATTGCCTGTCACGTTATGCACAGTCTCTAAAAAGTGCATAGATCTTGAACGGACTGTCAAGACATTTTTCCCTTTATTCCAAACACTTCGGCGCAGGTAAACGCCAGGCGCCGTGGAGCAAATAATGTATGCATTTTAAGTTTATCCTAAAGCCAACACATTGGAGCTTAGCTCACTGTTGAGCAAGAGCCGGAGAATAAAATACTGACCGTCTCTTTCTTTTATGCCATTATACTACCCAACAAGTAGATTATTTCGCAATGGGATCGTAAAACCAAACTGCGTAGCCATTTTACACTTACGACCAAGCCAACTCTGCGGAGTTTTGCCTCTGTAATTTCGTGAAATATTTAACATAATCACAAGTGATTTAAAGTCAATCAAACAAATTATCTACGTTTGCTGTAAACAAAAATCTAGACAGCAGGGTTCCTTTCTGCATTGTGTTCATATTTCGTAGTAATTATTTCACAGTAACGCTGCATGGTGACATCAGAGAGAGCTGCAAAGGCGCACAGTCTTAATTAACTCCTGCTACGCAGACTTAGCGCAAATAAATTTTTACAACCACCTCAGGCTCAAAAGGCTCAGTGATGATGAATCACGTATGAGTTCAATGTAGCTTTAAAACTCAAAGAAAGACAATAACTGTGGATTTTTTAAACGCTAGGCTTCTCGCTGGTCGAGTGACGTCGTTAGAAACGCCGCGCCTTGTAAAAGGCCGGCTGCCCTTTAAACATTTAATGACCCAAATCACTTTAGAAGACTAACTTCTTCGCTTAAATGTCGAAAGCACAATTGAAGATAGTTGTTTACGACACAACGCTCAAGAATAAGTGAATCACCTCGGTGCCCGTTAAAATCACACTCTCAACAGCCAACCACAAGCCCGAGTAATCCAATTTCCTCCATCAGTTGAGGACATACAAATATGCGAATGCTATTGCTTGTCAATACTACTCTACCTGAGTTAGTGAAAGCGAAGCAATTTGAACCAAAAGTTGTAAAGACGTAGTACCTACCTTATTTGCACCAGCAACGTTTAATCTTTAAGCTTCTCAACGCCGTTTCAAATTGCCAGACCGACTTAACACGCGATAGCGCTGTTTTGCAGCTTTTTTTCAGATCAATGAATCAAACGCCTCGGAACCCAGGAACCTTCCACTACACGAACTTTCTCGAGTAATAAGGTGAGTTTAAATCATCCGGAAAGAGTTGTCACAACCACCGCAAGGGGCGAGACTGACCACAAAGTTGCTGTTTTGTCATGTTAATGTGACCCTCACGCCCGTGTGTGTTTGTTGTTCGCAGTTAATATAACTTCAGCACTAAGAGAGACTGAACTACAAACGCAATCCAGGTTGGTGTGAAAAACATGACGTGAAGATAGGTGTCTGTTCAAACACTTTGGTAGAATAAGACTCATGCAGCAAGCTTTATAAAGTTAACCACTGAGTGTGTTTGATGCGTCTCAACCCATCAGCTTAGTCGCTAAGGTGTTTTTTTCACTTTTTCAACGTCAGTGAACCGGATCAATTAATAATAATTTTGATTTGTTTTTGGAAGCCGCCGCCATAAAAGACTCTACCACGCAAGGTACTATTACTTGCAAGCCGAAGGTGTCAAATGTTCTTCTTGATGACGATTTGGTGTAGCAAGATAACAAACAACATGAAAACAATGCATTATAGTCACTTAGTGGGCCATCGACTGAAAAGTCTCAGTCCCTCGAGATCGGGTGTTACCACCCACCCTCTATAGCTCTTCCTCTTCCTCTACTTCCTCCGCTACTTGGTCCAAATATCCGATCAGGAAAAACAAAAACAGGAAGCTTTTCACGAGCAGCGAATTGTTCTGCGCTTTGCGTAATTGTACGGCTGGGAGAGAAAAGAGCGTTGTTCTTCTTCCCACAAGAATCTTTCGGTTTTCGACAGCCTTTTCGGTTGAACTCGGGTAATTCTCAAAACGATATCCACTTCACAAGGCTGAAGTTTAATGTTAGTCAGAGACGTCCAAAGGACAGATCTACGTACAAAGACGGCAAAGCTATGTTAAGGTTGAAAAATAAAAAAAAAAAGCAGCAGAATCCCACTTCTTAAACCGCTTGTAAATATATTTAGAATTTTTTTCTTTATTTTACTTACTTCCTGTAAGTTCTAATTATTGAGTTATTTTTTTGTAAAAAAAATACCTCTTAGTCGGCGCGTCGGGTATGTTATGGACGGG